TCCCTGGAATTTTCTGTTATCTTTTCTTCTAAATTAAGTATTTTATTATTAAAGCTGGCCTGTATGTCTTTAGAATTTTCTGCGATCTTATCTTCGAAAATATTAATTTTATCACTGATTTTCTCTTCTAAATTAACTTCCAAGTCAATTATTTTACTATTCAAATTGTTCAAGTTGTCGTCTAATTTTTGAGAATTCTCTGTCATTTTATCATTCAAACTGTCTTCTAATTTTTGTAAGGACGATTCACCAGGTCACCTTCCAACTCAAAGCAAAATGTGTCAGGATCCTCACCTTCCTCCACCAAAACGTCTCTCAGTCTAGCTTGCAAAATACTTTTCTTTCCAGTATACATTTTAATTCCGACACTTTCAAGTCTTTCAACAATTTTTTCGGAGCCATGGTCTATCACACACGCCACACTTGACACCAATTGTTACGTTTTTCGTCGGTTCCGTGTGGATAGAAAGTCACAATTTATTTAAACACTATTTATTTAACACTAATTAACAAAAACAATAACGATAAAAGACTTATAGAACTATTTACAGACGATTTATAAGTAAGAATTTATTTTGAATTTTAGCGCGTCAACTGCACTGGTATATTTATAACTGCCCCCTGTAGGCCACAGCCGCCGGCTTTTATACCGACAGGTAAAGAACTCTAGAATAGTCCATAGATCGTTAGGTGCGTAGAGAAGGTTTTCGAATGTTCTCGTATGTACTAGTCCATTCCAGTGGGACTCGATTCTTCTCGAACGAATGAATCATTACGGTGTCTATTCTTTAATGCGATGTTAAGGTCATCTGAGGGCGGGACATATAGTTAGGTTAGGTCGAGTTCACACGGGTCCGCAACACTGCCCCCTTCTTAGGCACATGCTCGTCCCGAGATGTACACGGTGAATGAAGGTATTTGCAAAGCTGGCCCCTGGTACATTGTGAAGTCTGGTAGAAATAGCAGTCTACAGTTTTCTCTCCCGATCTCAGCTTTGGGTTGTAGCAGCAAACGAGGATCTCGATTCCTGTAAATCTGAACAAGACTTCAATCATGTTCCGGATTGTACGCCAACTCAAACCATCGAGTCCACACGCCAGCTTTGGAATGGCTAATCGTGCAATGTTGTTGTTTAGCAGGGCTTCTCTCAGTTCTACAGGTCGACGTGTGCCCCTCCATTTCGACCTTTCGACGAATCGGTCCCTTCTTTCCCATGTACTGGTCCATTACCTTCCGAACAATCCCTTCCACGGATTCGTCGGAACATTCGTCGATGGCCCGTACTCTTCCTAAAGACCGATAACTTTGTTTCCCGGCCTCAAATTCTAGGACACGTGCTAAAGCATCCACCAAGTGCGTTGGGTGGGCTAGGAGAAGTGCTTGTCTTGTCTCGTTGTCACGTAAGCTGTCGGAGAATGCCTGTACTGCCAACCACTCCATAACATTCTCTGGCGTACCAGGGTACGCAAGGCGAACGAGGCGGGCTACGTCGGCTTCAAACTCCTGCAGAGACTCATTTGACTTTTGAATGCGATTTTTTAGCTGGGAATGATAGACATGTTTCAAATGAGCTTGGCCGTACCTCATTGCTAAATGTCGTACCAATTGCTGATAATCTCCCTGTTCCGATGGTGACAATGTCTGCAGGATATCAGTCGCATCTCCTCGCAGTGCGACAGTCAAAGCGATAGCCTTTTCAGCGATTGTCCATCCGTTCGCTCTCGCAGCGGCCTCAAACTGGCAAAAATAATTGGCCCAAGCGGTTTTTCCGTCAAACTGTGGAGGCTTAATAACTGACTTTGAGATATGCTTATTTTCGACTAGTTTCGGTGCTTCCGATGTTTCTTGACATTTTGGTGAATTTGCCTTTGCTATTTCTTGTTTTAAAATTTCGATTTTTTTATTTACATCGTCCTCAATTTGTGTTATTTTGTCTTGTAGCTCCGTTGAATTCTCTATAATCTTTTCTTCTAATTCCCTGGAATTTTCTATTATCTTTTCTTCTAAATTAAGTATTTTATTATTAAAGCTGGCCTGTATGTCTTTAGAATTTTCTGCGATCTTATCTTCTAAAATATTAATTTTATCACTGATTTTCTCTTCTAAATTAACTTCCAAGTCAATTATTTTACTATTCAAATTGTTCAAGTTGTCGTCTAATTTTTGAGAATTCTCTGTCATTTTATCATTCAAACTGTCTTCTAATTTTTGTAAGGACGAGTCCAAGTCACCTTCCAACTCAAAGCAAAATGTGTCAGGATCCTCACCTTCCTCCACCAAAACGTCTCTCAGTCTAGCTTGCAAAATGCTTTTCTTTCCATCTGTCTCGCACTCTCTCTCTTCCAGTATACATTTTAATTCCGACACTTTCAAGACTTTCAACAATTTTTTCGGAGCCATGGTCTATCACACACGCCACACTTGACACCAATTGTTACGTTTTTCGTCGGTTCCGTGTGGATAGAAAGTCACAATTTATTTAAACACTATTTATTTAACACTAATTAACAAAAACAATAACGATAAAAGACTTATAGAACTATTTACAAACGATTTATAACTAAGAATTTATTTTGAATTTTCGCGCGTCAACTGCACTGGTATATTTATAACTGCCCCCTGTAGGCCACAGCCGCCGGCTTTTATACCGACAGGTAAAGAACTCTAGAATAGTCCATAGATCGTTAGGTGCGTAGAGAAAGTTTTCGAATGTTCTCGTATGTACTAGTCCATTCCAGTGGGACTCGATTCTTCTCGAACGAATGAATCATTACGGTGTCTATTCTTTAATGCGATGTTAAGGTCATCTGAGGGCGGAACATATAGTTAGGTTAGGTCGAGTTCACACGGGTGCGCAACAATACCAACTCTCGGTTTTCTAACTGAAAAAATAAAAAAATTATAGGGATGAGCCACTTTTGAGACGCACCCGGTATTGTATGTGCGTCCTTCTTTGGTACAAAATCCTTCTTTACGGCTATTTACCTGTAAAATTTAGCTGTTCCAAAGATACCCCGACTTTAGGATAACTTTAATGTGGGATAAACAAAGTACTGCTTAGAATTTTGATTTCATATTTTGGTGATAAATAAATAACTTTTTTCAAATGGGAAGGGGGTCAAGTGACACTGCAATGAAAAGAGCTTTCTATTCTCTATATTTTTCCGCTTCGTTTTTGAAAATCGGTCTAGTCATTGAGAAAATATATGAAGGATTGAAATTTGAAAAGTTTATTTAAACATTTATCAGAGTAAATGATAAGGATAAATTCCTTCGACCAATTTGCTGTTTTTTCTTATTATTTCTAGATGTTTACGCATTTTTTCACTTGCCACAAGGTTGAACGATCAGGTGCGGTAGTTGCTAGATAGATGTTCTGTGACTTGTGCGTTGAAGTTCTTCTCAATATCGTTAAACTGACCCGCAATAGAATTTCTAAAAATACCAGCCCACACGTTCAATTTCTGAGGGTTTTGTGTGTGCACCTCGTGAAAAGCTCTTGGGTTGTCCTCAGCCCAGTACCACACCAGTACCGACAGTTGTGTCGATTATCTACACCGTTCGAAAAGAAAGTACACTCATCCGAAAAACACACATTAAATAGGAAATTATTATCATTCCCCCCTCGTTCACTCATAGTTTCACAAAATTGCAAGCGACGATCAAAATAGTCTTCGTTGAGTTCTTGTACCAACTGAATTTTGTACGGGTGGAACTTCTGTTTTTTTTTAATATCCTTTGGACACTTGTACGATTCACGCCGGTCTCATTGCCTAATTTTCTTGTACTCAGCGTACTATCCATGGCAACTTGGCCCAATACGAATACATCCATAGCTTCATTTACTACAGGATTTTCCCTCTGCCTCTTTTTGTTCATAACGGAACCAGTTTCGCGAAATTTTGCTACTAACTCGCGAACAATTTTGCCATAAAGGTGTTTGTCAGGATAGCGCTCATTGAATATGTGCGCAACCCGATACATTCATTATTTTTAAGATAAAGTTCGATTATTTCCACTTTTTCTGCAAGTGATTGACCGCAAGTGATTGACTGCAAGTGACTGCAATCTGCAAGTGATTGACTGCAAGTGATTGACACCATGATTGTTAAACAGTGTAACGATATTGAGAAGAACTTCAACGCACAAGTCACAGAACAGCTATCTAGCAACTACCGCACCTGATCGTTCAACCTTGTGGCAAGTGAAAAAATACGTAAATATCTAGAAAGCAGCAAATTGGTCGAAGAAATTTATCCTTACCATTTACTCTGATAAATGTTTAAATAAACTTTTCAAATTTCAATTCTTCATATTTTCTCAATGACTCGACCGATTTTCAAAAACGAAGCGGGGAAATACAGAGAATAGAAAGCTCTTTTCATTGTGGTGCCACTTGACCCCCCTTCCCATTTGAAAAAAGTTGGGGGATGACACCCCCGCTTAGAGGGTTGAAGATTTTGCAATCATTTTTGGGGCAAAATTGACGTGATTTTGAATTTTCTGAAAAAAAAATTACTCTGGGCGTTATGCCTTGCGGAACGTTTTCGATGGGCCACCCTGTATAGCAAGGACTATATCAACGAAAAATATTAAAAATCGTACCATAGTTACCCCGAGAGAGAGATTTACGGTACTAGATCTAAAATTCACTTATGACCAAGCTTAATAAAACCAACCCATCTTATTATGCACACAATTATACATCCTAGACGCATCTGTAGCATTATTTTTTGATTAGCGTTTAAATAATACCGCAATTTTCTAGATAAATGTTAACAGTTAACGATATAATTTCGATCTTAATTCGATCTGAGATTGTATCGAGAACGTGTAGGTCGTCTCCAATACATGACCATAAAAGCGTAGCCGACAAGTTGTCCTTTAAACTCGCTTGTGACGTTTCACCTGGTTGAAACGAGGAGTATGGCGAAGTGTGGGGTAAGGAGGAAGAGACCACGTTGGGAGAATATGGAGAAACGAGCATGGAGGGGGACGTGGAACTGTGTTGTCAGAGTTTTCATGTTGGGAATTTTCGAACCGACTGAATAAACAGACGAGTTTCGAAAGCGCGCTCGACGAGGTTTTGGTGTGGTGCGGCATTTTTGGATTTCATATCGTTCGCTCTTATTTATTTTTCATACTAAAAGTACTAAGTAAGTATATCAAATAGTTAATACCCCCCAAACCATAAATTAACTATTTTAATTATTATGATCGTTAGTTAAATTCATAACAAATTTCGTATTTCCGCGATTTTTTAGTGATATTAGTAAGGCTGCCCGTAAAAGCCTTCATCACAATCCTTACCTATATCTTATTTAATGATATTACAGGGTGAGTCCTAAATAAGTGCAAATATTTTAGTAGGTAGGTAGTTATTTCGATCCCAGAAATACGATTTTAAGGGTTTTTTTCCAAAAAAAAATGGATTTTTTTTAGTTAAAAACATAATTTCTTGATGATATAGCGACATAGATACTATGACTAAATTTACAAGAAACAAAACTCAGAGAAGATCCAGTGGTTCTCAAAATTTAAGCAAACATTTTTTTGGAAATTTTCGGGTATTTTGAACTTATTTGAAAAAAAGGTAAAGAGAAAATGTGTTTCTTTTTTCGAGATTTACCAGCTCTGAAAATAGTTGTACTTATTTAAGACGCACCCTGTATAATATATAATAATATAATATATACAGGGTGTCCCACTTAAGATGGATAGGTTGTAGCCACAAACCAAACCAAGCCAATATCTTGGTTGTTTGTTGAGCGATCTTTTTCATTTTTGGCAGGAGGCTGTATGGCTACAAGACGTACATTTTGCCCAGGGTAAGAAATGCGATACCGCATAGACGTACGTTTTAATGGGGTTTGATATTTTTCGAGTCAAGAGTAAACTACCCTTAGGACAGTATTTATTTCAAATCTGATAAATTATATTGAATCCTCCTTACCTAAGATACTTAAGTTCTAATTTTGATAAATATTGATACAGGGTGCGTCATTAAAATAAGACCTTTTTATATTTATTATTTTTTAAGTACTTACAACGCCACTGGATAAACAATAGGTTTAACAGAATTAACTATAAAGCCATACAGCCTCCTGCCAAAAATGAAAAAGATCGCTCAACCAACAACCAAGATATTGGCTTGTATCCATCTTAAGTGGGACACCCTGTATATAAAAAAATGTAATTATAATAAAATAACTCACTCAGATATTGTATAGTAGCCTTATTAGTAGTATTTTGTGTTTGTATTACAATTTAAATTGGAACTAAGAATTTTTGTTAATATTTTAAAACAAATTTGTCAATTTTTACAAATTATATTGATTAAAAATAATATTATAAGATAAAAATAACATTATCCAAATAATTGTTTATGAATTATACACCAATACCTATTAATTATTTTAATTGCGTTGTCTTTTTCTAAAATAAATAAACAATAAATATACAGGGTGAGTCTTAAATAAGCGAGTTATTTTATTTTGAAAATTAATAAAAAGATGATTTTTTGCTTACATTTTGAGAACCACTGGATCTTTTCTGGTGTTTGGTTCTTGTAAATTTAATCTACTACCTATGTTGCGCCATATTGTCAAGAAATTAAGGTTTTTTAAATGAAAATTTAATAAAAATCCAAAATTTCAATTTTTTTTGCACTGCAAAAAAATTTGCACTTATTTAAGACTCTGTATAGAAAACTCCATAAATCACAGTGCACCAAAATACTTACTTTTTGAACAACATTTTTCTCCATTCAATTTTTTTATTACTCTCATTACAATATACATACCATAACAAAACGCCATATTTTTGCTGCTCTAATTTTATAATAAACAATCAAAAATTTCAAGATGAATGATATTTATTTAAAAAGTAATACCTATGAAATATAATGTTAAAATAAAACTTCAACATGAGACATATTACATATTATAGTATGTGGTATTAATAAAGTTAGAATTATTAATAATATTAATTAACTATTCAAATTCAAATATATTTTTAATAGATATAAAGTGGAAAATATCTTATTATACTAGAACATAGGAATGCTCTATTATCAATTCTCCAAAACTCTTTAGGTGTGTACCAGGCACCAATAGTGTTCTACAAAATTTGATAAACTTGCTAAAAGCTGAAGTATTGATTATTTATATTGCCTTTGCACTTTTGGACATAAAAGTAAATACACAAGATTAGATGATTTTTATATTTTTAACAATTTGTCGATACGGGGGCCTCCCCAAAATATATTTTTCTCAGCCTTTCTTTAAAAAAAATATTAAAAATACAAAAACTGTCCTGAAATCAAAACTATATTAGATATTTCCTTTAGACGGTCTGTACTTACTTTGCATAAATATGATAATCGTAAATCATACAGGATGTTCAAAATTCTACGCCAAACTTTCTAAAATATAAACTCATTTTTCTTCGTTTTTTTTAACTGAACACCCTGTATATTATTTGTTCAATAGATAGAGAATTCAAAAATAAACCTTTTTTTTTGTTTAGAGTATTTCAAAATTTTTAATGGTTTCGCTGATATTCGCGGTTTTATATTTCATATGGCATTTTCCATAGTAAATTTTTATCAAAGCGCTCTCAACGATTTTTGTCTCATATTTTACCGTTGAAAGAGTCATACAAAATAATACTGCGTGTATCTGTTTTAAAATACTTACTATTAAATACTTATTTAATACTTATTAAATAAAAAAAATTAACAACAAAATTAAAAAAAGCTATGGTAATAAAAATTCTTTATGTAATGACATGACGTCCCTTTTGCCTTTAACGCTATATTTATATATTATTCAGACCACTCTTAATAAATAACCCATATAACAGATATAATTAACTGACCTTATCGTAATTGAATTATAATTGGCGAATAAATAAGCAGATTAATAAGAGGCGCCAGATTTCTTTATAAACTCCTGAAATTTTAATATTATACGAGTTCGTAAATTTCTGCCCATAAAAGGACACGAGTCAAAAGAAAAAAAAAACACTGATTTATATGTTATGCTTAAACATGACCTAAACTAAAGGTAAGAGACCGGTTTCACGTTAATATTGTTACGCTTAACTGTTCGTTACAAGGTTTATGGTTATGTAGGGGAGAGTAATACACAATCGTACGATTCTTAAATTGCATTAAGTTATAGCACAGCAGATTATAAACTTTGTTTTTTCTTTATTGTTTTTCGTGGTTCCAATTTTCGGAATCGGGCACTAGTTGGGTTACTAGTTTGCACATAGCACGCCCACTTATGGCCTCTAAAACTGTGCACAGCGCCTGACCGGCACAGTTATTAGAGAGATATCGGAAAACCGAATAGCGTCATACAGTATTTACCCGTACCCGTATCATGGTTACGATATTCGCGAGTCAATTTTTAACGCAACGCCCGCTAATAACGTTACCTGACGTAATTTGCGGATCAATTACACCAAGCGCTATTTCGATCTAAATAACGTTTAAAAATTGCTTAAGTGGGCATGTGCGGATATTTGACAACCGGGGCCGGCCGGCCAGATCTTTTATTTTAGGTTATGTCTGAATTGTTTTGAATTATTACTTTAGTTTTATTAGGTAATGTGAGATTTAAGTAGCTGGGATTAGTTTTAATTAAATAAATATGGCTCAAAATATGAATCCCACCTCTTCCAATATTAAAGAACCTATAAAGAGGCTTAGGTTTACAGCAGATGAAGACTTAGCCCTTCTAAGAGAATTTGTTGCTTGTTGCCCTAAACCCACTGGCAGACGTTGAACAATAAAGCACTGGAAATAAGCACATTAGCCCTTTAGATTTAAAATACCTAGTAAACAAAACAATTTCAAAGTTAGGTTAAGTTTAAATATCGGACGCGACGCGAACAGAATTCTTTCCGATCCGATAACTATAAATGAAGAGAGTTAATACCACCTCACGTAAAGGAAATAACACCTGACCTTATTAATGTTCGTGCACGCTATTCGGTTTAGCGATATCTCTCTATTACGCTGCTTATTGTTATTTTACGCAAGTTTATTTTTGCGCACAGGAAATTTTACTCGTTTGCACATCGTCATAAAAAACAATTTTCGTACCACGAATTAGGGACAAGATTTTTATCTCTATACTTATAGGATACCTCATCTGTGTTTATACACTGTCTGCAGGTAACTACGGGTGTGCTTTCTGCCTTTATTTTGCAGAATTTTACAAAAAAACTCATTTAATTACATGTAAAGGTATGTTACCCACTACATCTATGACTGGGAAGCATAGAATACATTACAAAACATTTTACTCTCTACTATGAACATTTAAATAAATTACAGAACAAATTTATGTTTTAGTGATAGGTATATAGTTCAAACTTTTTATATGATACTACCATAGATTAGGTATCCTATAAGTATACAGATAAAAATCTTGTCCCTAATTCGTGGTACGAAAATTGTTTTTTATGACGATGTGCAAACGAGTAAAATTTCCTGTGCGCAAAAATAAACTCGCGTAAAATAACAATAAACAGCGTAATAGAGAGATATCGCTAAACCGAATAGCGTGCATGGACGTTAATAAGAGGTGTTATTTTCTTTACGTGAGGTGGTATTCACTCTCTTCATTTATAGTTATCGGATCGGAAAGAATTCTGATCGCGTCGCGTCTGCTATTTAAACTTAACCTAACTTTGAATTTAAAACTTTGAAATTGTTTTGTTTACTAGGTATTTTAAAACTAAAGGGCTAAAGTGCTTATTTCCAGTGTTTTATTGTTCAACGTCTGCCAGTGGGTTTAAGGCAACAACCAACAAATTCTCTTAGAAGGGTTAAGTCGTCATCTGCTGTAAACCTAAGACTCTTGATACGTTCTTTAGTATTGGAAGAGGTGGAATCCATATTTTGGGCCATATTTATTTAATAAAAACTAATCCCAGCTACTTAAATATCAAATTACCTAATAAAACTAAAGCAATAATTAAAAACAATTTAAACATAACCTAAAATAAAAGATCTCGCCGGCCGGCTCCGGTTGTCAAATACCCGCACATGCCCATTTAAGCAATTTTTAAACGTTATCAGAGGTTATTTAGAAAGAGCGCTTGGTGTAATTGATCCGCAAATTACGTCAGGCGGTAACGTTATTAGCGGGTGTTGCGTTAAAAATTGACTCGCGCAAAGACTCGCGCATATCGTAACCATGATAACGCGTAAATACTGGATGACGGTATTCGGTTTTCCGATATCTCTCTAATAACTGTGCCGGTCAGGCGCTGTGCACAATTTTAGAGGCCATCAGGGTTGCCACAAGCTACACAGTGTATTTTGCTACTGTGTACTTTGCTACACAGTGTATTTTGCTACACATTTGCTTCCATGACTGCACAGCTACACCACAATGGCCTGTGCTACACATTTTAACAATTTACATATTTATTATAAAAAATAATACCAAAACAGTAAATCAGCTGACAAAAGCTGTTTTTTTTTGCTTTTAAGTTATCTAAGTTATTTAAGTTATATTTGAAGTTACATTAAAAAAGGCCGCAAGTGAACTTTAAATTTTGAACTGACAAATATCATTTTCGGTCATTTATTGGTCGAGTCAAAAACGGTAAATAGACAGGATTGCTTAATTCCTTAAATAATACATAACACGTACTTTGGCCAAATTCAGAGGCCAAATTTCACTGTAGTTCATACGTGAATAATATTCAATTCCTATTTCAGTTTTCCTCCCATATCAGCAAGGACTGCAGTTTCTATGGACAAATTTGGCCGATTGTCCAGTCCTGAATTGTTTAGTCCTGAATTGTCCAGTCCTGAATTGTTTACAGTTTTTAAACAGACTTTAACCGGTCTAATTTTTTCATAAAATCGTTCGTTTCGCGACATTTTGACGTCATTGCAATATTTGCTGGCATGAGAAGAAGTGAAATGGGAAATGAATATACTGACGTATACAAACGAGTGGAAGTGAGACTCTTATCGAGACTCGTAATTATGCTTTAAAATTTGGCGATTTTACGTCTTATTCTTGGTCTTATTGGATAGTTTACAATTAATGGTCATGGTCATGGATTGCTACACAATGCTACACATTTTTATGGTCAAGTTTTGCACAATCAAAAATTTTCTTGTGGCAACCCTGGAGGCCATAAGTGGGCGTGCTATGTACGCAAACTAGTCACCTAACTAGTGCCCGATTCCGAAATTGGAACCACGAAAAACAATAAAGGAAAAACAAAGATTATAATCTGTATAATCTGTGATACTACTCTCCCCTACAAATATTCATTTACGTCTGTTAGATCATCGTTTTAAATACGTGCCTTACACCTTAAAAGATATTTTACGATATTTGGTAATTGCTATTTTATTAGACATGAAAAGAGTGAAATTAGGTAATCGTTTCAATGATCGCTATTAGCTATTTGACGAAGCTGAATTTGTAGTTCACTTAATTGTTATTAAAGAATAGCTATAAAATATGGTACTTGGTACTCAAGTTATACCTCAGAATATTATTAATATGTGAAACTAATCTTGATTAAAAATATTTATTTATTAGATTATCAAAAGAAACGTTTGTAAATAAAGATTTAGTTGTTGTCGAATACATTTACTTCAAAACCTGGGTATTCCAGGTTTATTTTTTATTTGGTTTGCTATGTTTGTTTGCTTGTTGTTGGTTTCCTATGTTGGAAACATAGGAAATCCCATGCAAAAAGCTTAGCACTCGGTATAATTATCGAATGATAGTTTTTAATAAAATAAAAAAAAAATTATGAACGAATCACAAAAGAATAAACATTAATTACCAGTAGATAATACCATATATCCCTTCAGATCATCATGGGTGGCTTATCTCAAAGACCATGGACCCCAACCAAAAGACGTGGACCTATTGCTGCTGAATACAACAGTCCAGGGCCGGCGTGTGTATCCTTGCCATCATACATCGGTAAATTGTACTATATATTTAGAAAAATTGATTATAACCCAAGTAGCATTTTCACGACTTGCGACCACATGTTTACTAAACACAACGTTGGATTAGTTACAAAAAATAGTTAGCTCCCTACCTTGAGTATTAAAATAAATTTAAACGTTTTTATAACGTTGTGCCGACGTTGGACTAGTACTACAGCAAAGTAGAAGTTTCTGCGACGTCGAATAAACGTTGTCTTGTAACCTTTTTTGCTTAAGTGATCTTTAGGTGATTCGGACAACGTAGTTACAACGTTGGACAATATAGAGTTTTCCGACGTCAGTTTCAGGACCTGTTCCAACGTTATGCAAACGTCGTCTGTTTTACTAAATCCAACGTTGTTTAGATTTCCTTATTCTTACGTTGGTAGGACGTCGAGTCACTACCTTTTTGCAACTGTATTGAACCATAACCTTAAATCTTAAATTTTCACTTCATTGTTCTGTTCAGTCAGACAGTTCAGTGCTGTTTTGTTTTTATAAAAAAAAAACTTAATTAAAATGGGACATAAGAAAGGTACATATAAAACTAAATTTAAATATACATCGACATATATTACCGATGTTTATCCACTCCCTCGTTTATTTAGATTATAGAGGGCGGCACAAGCTAGACTCTAAGATGACTAAATTAGGCAATCTTGCGACTAATATACTACCTGTTAAGGCCGAACTGCGACTTTATTAGTCCAGTATGCGACTACTCGAACTACTCCATCTTAATCTCCAAAACAACAAAGTGAAAGCCGCCATGTTGTTAAATAAGAAAATGTTTCATCATCCATTTTCCTAAAATAGCAATTCCTGCTTTTTGAATACATTAACTTGAAATATTTGACCCTAAAAAACACGCGGAAACAATTTTTTCGACTGCGAATAAATTATTCTCATTTTACTAAAAAAAACTTCAAATTTTTTTTTTAAAACTTCTTTAATTTTAAGGCCCATTAGTATTTTTCAAAGTAGAAACAATACATTTATCAATAAAGTTGTTTGCGTTTAACTTTTTGCCTTGGGTAACGAGTTACAGAGTCGGTTAAAGTGTTTCAATAATTATGATCTTCAAACATCCTCCACACTTAAATACTTTTGTTTTATTTTCCTTCACTGCCATCTGACATATGTCTCTAACTAAATCATAAAAATAATATTTTTACTATAATTATCCCAATTTAGGATAAAACGCGCTTAGACGCCATATTAGTTGTGTATTTCTGTGAATTAGGATTTTAAACAACGTTGCAGTTTGTACTAAATTAGGCTTCTAGCCAACGTCGGTATCCAACGTCGTTTCGACCCAAAAATTATTCTCCAAACTAGTGCAGACTAGGGTTGGCACGAGGTTGTGCCGACGTTGCGCCCCGACGTTTGGTCGCGTGACACAACGTTGTCCCGACGTCCAAATGCTGCTTGGGAATACTTTAAAATAAATGCAAATATGTAAAATAAGTTTTTTGCAGGCAAAAAGCCTTTAGAAGCCAAAACAGGTAGCGCACCAGCATTCAGTTTCGGTGCCAAAGCGAACGCTAAACTCGATAGTGTTGGACCCGGCCCTGGACAATATAATGTTTCCGGTCTTAGTGCAAAAGGTATGAATATAACAAACAATTTGTAATTTTTTCAACTATCATTACTTTATAATGTTATTTTTTAATATCACGATGATGTGGCTTGTGGTGACTATTGTTGTCATGTTATATCGACACGCATTAGAACTCTAAATTAAAATTTAAAAAACGTTGAATAGGTTTGGTTTCAATAAATACATATACCGCCATTACTCGCTGACGAATATTTGACACGCATCAGAAGATGGTCACGCAAGGCGTTTTCTTTCATGAGCTTTCCCGTGACTGAAAAGCCCGATACGTGTTATCTGTCTACCGCACTTCAGACATTCAAAAATCTCATTGCTTTGTTGCCTCTTTACTTTTTGGTTGTCGCTCTTAACTGACTTTACAATTCTTCTCCATTCCGTTCTATTGTGAGCTGCCTCTTCCCAGCCATTCTGCTTGTTAATTCCCTTTAAGTTTTTGTGGAAAATATCCTTGAACCTTTTGAGTTGTCCACCCGGCCTCCTCTTACCGTCTACAAGCTCACCGTAAAGCAGAGATTTTGGTATGCGGTTTTCTTGCATTCTGCGTACGTGACCAGCCCATCTTAAGCGGGACTTTGTAATCATGACTTCAACACTCTCGCAGTTAGCTTTTTCCAGGACCGATACCATTTTATTCTTAAGAGTTGTCTAAGATGTCTCTGTTGCAACTTGTTTAATGCGTTCATGTGTCGACGATACGGCACCCAGGTTTCGCTTCCATATAACAGGTGGGAATTATTATCGCTCGGTACACCGCAAGTTTCGTTTTTGTGCTCAAGTCATGATTGTAGAAAACCCTGTCTTTTAATTTCCAGAATGCTCTTGAGGCACTTCTAATCCTGTGCTGAATTTCAGAGTCGATATTGGCCTTTTCCGAAATCAAACTGCCGAGGTAAATTGAATTCCGCTACATATTCCAACAGCTCATCTCCGATTTTTATAGCATTGTTGTGATCTTCCGGGGGAGTGCACATGATTTTAGTTTTATCGATGTTCAGCTTAAGTCCCAAGACCTCGGATGCCCATGTATATGTGTTCAACATTTCTTGTAATTGCTGTAACGTATTTGCAACTAGAGCACAGTCATCAGCGTATTGAAGTTCTGTGATGAATTTTGTACGTGTTTTTGCCCTGAGTCTTTTTATGTTGAACAGACCGCCGCCGCCGTCGTATCTGTATCTAATGCCCAAACCTCTCTCCTGCAGTTTGCTGTCCACTATAATGGAGAGCGCTGCCATGAATATATTGAATAGGAGAGGCGCTAAGACACATCACTGCCTAACGCCTGTGTTTGTTAGGAAGGGATCGCTCAGTGATCCATGATATGACACTCTTGATTTGTTGTTGTTATGGAGGCTTTTACACACTGTAAGAAATTTGATGGTTACTCCGAACTTTTTCATAATTGCCCAAAGTGCATCTCTGTTCATAGAGTCGAAGGCTTTTGTTAGATTGATGAATGCAACGTAAAGTTTAGACTGCTGCTCTTTTACTTTTTCCTGTAGTTGCCGGATGGAGAATATGGAATCGACGGTACCGCGGTTGGTGCGAAAACCCGTTTGCGATTCTGGGAGGATTTTTTCTATATGTGGGTGCAGGCGGTTTGACATAATTTTTGTAAGAATTTTTCCTCCGATAGCCAGTAGTGAAATTCCTCGGTAGTTTCCGCAGTTTGATGCACTTCCTTTGTTCTTAAATATATTCACTATATTCGCGTTGCAAAAGTCCTGAGGTACCTCTCCGCTTTCCCATATGATATCAAGGAGAGCCTTAAGATGACCAATAATTTCTTTACTTGCACACTTATAGATTTCCGCCGGAATCGCGTGACAGCCAGCTGATTTGTTGTTTTTAAGCTTTTTTAATTAAGGTTTTATGGAGTCCTTTATTTCCTGTTCTGTTATTGGAATGTCTAATACATCGAGGCTGTTATACTGAGGTATTATGTTGAGTGTTTCCATATTGGGGTTGTTTTCTTGGTTAAGGATATGGCTGTAATGCTCTTTCCAGCGGTTTCTGATTTGCTCTTCCTGTTTTAGAAGTTCGCCATTTTGTGCCATGATTGGGCATCTTGCCTTCTTAGTTGGACCGTACACTTCTTTTACAGCCTCGAAGAATTTACGATAGTCGTGATGCGTGGCATACTCCTGAATCTGACTAGCTTTTTGCGACCACCAGTTATCCTTTAGTTGGCGCAGGTTTCTTCGGAGCGTGTTGTTGGCTGCCTTAAAGTTGTCTGCTAGTCTTGGATTTTGTGGATTTGCAGTGACGGCTTGATGTGCTCTATGCTTTTGTTCCAACAAAGCCTGTATATGCGGCTGATTTTCGTTAAACCAGTCTGGTTGTTTCTTTTTGTTGGATTTTCCCAGTACTGCTTCGCTGGTTTTGTGAATCGCATCTCTTAGTTGTGTCCAGCCATGTTCAGCATCCACGATTGAGATTGAAGTTATCGGTGAAAGTGATTCTTTGATGGCTTCCCGGAGGGCGTCGGCGGTATCGTTGTTCTCTAGATCCCGTACGTTCAATCTGGTCATGTAGCTTTGCTTTTTACAGTGTGGATGTTTTGGTTTTAACTGGATTTTCATTTTTGAGATTAAAAGTCGGTGGTCAGTGCCACATTCGGCATCTACTCTAACTTTTGTGAGACTGACATCTTTTAGGTGCGTCCTTCCAACGATTACGTGGTCCAATTGGTGCCAATGGCCTGATCTCGGATGTTTCCAGTTACCTTTAAATTTGTCCTTCAGCATGAACCACGTATTGGTGATGCAAAGATTATACTCTGTGCATGTCGTTAATAAGCGTTCACCATTGCTATTTACGTTTCCTATTCCATGTTTTCCCAATACGTCAGGCCATATTTCCTGTTGTTTGCCGACACGGGCATTAAAGTCACCTAGCAAAATGATTCGTTCGTGCTTTGGAATTTGTTGGAGTATATTTTGCAGAGCTTGGTAAAATTTATCCTGATCCTCAATTTTAGCGTCTAGGGTAGGAGCGTAGGCACTTATGATGTTGACGTAAGTTTTGTCTGATATGGGGTATCTTAGGGTCATAAGACGTTCGGAGACACCTCTGTTAATTTGGTGGCGATTTCGTTTTTGATTGCAATGCGAATTCTCCTGTGTGTTGCCGGATGACCCTTCCAAAAGAAGGTGTAATGCTCCTCAGTGAGACTACCTTCATCCGCAAAGCGGGTTTCGCTAAGAGCGGCAACATCTATATTTAGTCGGTGGAGTTCCTGTGAGACCAGTGCTGTCCTTCTCTCTGGTCGATTGGAATTTGTCCTGTCCAGTAGGGTGCGGACGTTCCACGCCGCAAACGTGAAACATTGACAATGTTTAGTTCTCCGATGATACGCTCGAGTAGGCACCCCCTCCCGGAGATCCGATCGAAGGGGTATTTTACCTCCGGACGATGATTTTGTCCTACTCGAATGTTCCATCTTTGATGAGTGTAAGCTGCGTAAAAAGGTTAAACTGTGACGGTTACGCTGCCGCACAGTTTGGCTGCAACTGTAGCACGGGATGGCTATGGCACAGTGAGGACTGCGACGATAGTTTCCTTGTGCTACGTTCTCGGCCGGCTAGGAGTAGTTTACTACTCCTCTTCCCCGGAAATGTGGTAGGTCGGAGGGTTGTATAATGATATACCGCATATACTCGGTCGTCAGAGCCTCGTTTGTTTAAACAGGGTGCACCACGTGAAGGTGAGGTTGACTTATGCATAAGCTAGGCTATATGTATCGCTTCAGTACCCCTTGCACCCCACTTCAATAAATACTAGTAACACTAACAGAACTAAGGATTTAAAAAAAATACTGTAATAACTAATTGAACAAACAAAAGATTTGTAAAAAATAATTTTTATTGTCTCCTCCGGTTCGAACTGTATTTCGGATACTTTGGCAGCATATTCTGCAGATAAAAATAAGTAAAAAAGTTCGTATAAATGTATGTCCTAAAATGCTTAGTTTCAGAGATACAGGGTCTAGAAGTTTCATTTTTATTTCGATTTTTACCAAATAATTTATAAAGTAACGTCAATATTTGGATGGAAATTGATGTCTGGGAGTTTTTTCATATGAGAAATTTTGATATGTGTCAATATGACTCCTGTTTGTAGAGGGCGCCACTTACATGTTTTTTAACTGTTCTGAAGAGTAATAACTTTTCGACCGTACCCGTATAAAACTACTGAGTGAAAAAATATACATTTCCGTGATTTTTTACGTAAAAAATGTCTCTTGGTAAAAATCGCTACGAGCAACCGTTTTGAAGATATTTAGAATGAAAATAGTCAATACATGTCATTATTGACAAAAAATAAACATGTCGAGTGGATTGTTATATTTTTTCTTTTTATTCTTGGCTTTAGGTCGTTGGGGTTGCAAAGATGTTACTGGATTTTATTCATTATTTTATTTTTATCGACGACGTTTCAACAGTATATTACGTCTTTTTCAAGTCTCTTGAACGTAAATTCCTACAGAATTAAAATTGTTCAAAACTGGACAAAAGCACAATAACACATATTAAAAGAGAGAATAACACATATTAAAAGCACAATAACACATATTATTCTGCAAGAAAATACGAGCTGTATACTAAAGTGTGATGTCCCTAAACAATTAAAATAATAGTTTTAATATGTGTTATTGTACTTTTGTCCAGTTTTTAACAATTTTAATTCTGTAGGAATTTACGTTCAAGAGACTTGAAAAAGACGTAATATACTGTCGAAAATAAAAATAAAATAATGAACAAAATCCAGTAACATCTTTGCAACCCCAACGACCTAAAGCCAAGAATAAAAAGAAAAAAATATATAGTATACCAGGTCAAAGAAACGAAACAAAAAACAATATATGTAGGTTGTTATTTGACTGAAATTATAAATTTGGGAACTTAAAAACAGTTTCTGTTGAACTTTCGACTCAAAAACATTTCAAATTTACGATTTCAGTCTAATAACAATTTAGTAAACGTGTTTAATTTATGTCAATGATGACAGGTATTGATAAATCCAAATATCTCCAGAACCATTACTCGCAGCTATTTTTCTCAAGAGATCTTTTTTATGTAAAAAACGCCGTAAATGTATATTTTTTTATTCAATTGTTTTATACAGGTATGGACGAAAAGTTATTACACTTCAAACCAGTTAAAAAATATGTAGGTAGCGCCATCTACAAATAGGAGTCATATTGACATCAAAATCATATGTCTCATGTCAAACAACTGTCAGATACCAATTTTCATCCAAATATTGACGTTACTTCCGAAATTATTTGGAAAAAATCGAAATTAAAATGAAACTTCTACACCCTGTATCTCCGAAACTAAACATTTTAGGAGATATATTTATACAAACTTTTTTACTTATTTTCATTTGCAGAATATGGTGCCGAAATTTCCGGAATACAGTTCGGACCACCCTGTAGAGCGGAAAAGATCTATATTGTCATATTCAATTTTTGGCAATTTTTTTATATAATATTCACAGTCGACGCCCTCAATATGATATCGAATTTATGTTCTAGGTAAAGACAGTCCTCCCGCTCTCAGCTTGCACAGCAGACCCAAAGAACCAAGATCGGAGAACTTTCCTGCTCCCGGAGACTATAATCCAGACAAGGCCGAGAAAGTAATCCACGACAACTCTCCCAAGTATACGTTTGGTTTAAAAACGAACGTAGGGAAGCCATTAGATACTCCAGGTAAAGATATATAATTATATATTATTTAAATTAAATATTGGCAAGAAACTTCAATAATTTAATCAATAATAATAATTATTATAAACTGTAACCGACTTAGTTATTGGGATTTATAAAATTAATTACCATTTGTGGCAAGAGAGTGTGGTGGATTAATATACATAACTGAATGATAAAAAATACACCAGATGTATTAAAATTTAATAATTTATAATAATATTATTAATAACAAACAACATTTAACACAGCCCCTAATGCTTATAAACCCTTTGTACGTACTGGTAGCAACAGGTACTCGTTTGGAAGAAGAACGCCCTTATACAAAACCTCAGATATACCTGGTTAGTTTATTTTATTTTATTTAATTATAATTTTTCTCTGTTTGTTATCCTTCTTCTTTCGGTGTACCAGATATTTTTTTTCTCTCTGCTTCATTAATACTTCCTTGTTAACACCCATATACCATGGTACAAAGAATACAAGGTATGATATTGCGCAAGTTGGTCGCTACGTCACAGGTGATAACAGGCGCTATTGGTCAGTACGCTCCGCGCGCCAGTTCAAATCGTTAAGATATTGTTATAAACCTGTTTTTTTGTTTATATGCCGTCATTGAATTGTCGCTAAGCAAGTTACTGTGGAGCAGTGCGTAAGGAGTCGGGCTAGAAAGCGAGAGACCGGAGTTCGAATCTCAGCCGGGACATAACTTTTTATTTATTTTTTTAAATACTGTTGTATTCTATAGTTTATTTTTGTAGTATAAAAAAAGAACTATTTATTCTGTTATTTTTTAATCTCCGTTATTAATATAAATTGATTGTTGGTACAATACCTCATTTAATATAAAATAATATTCTACTTTTTGAAATGTATCGGGCCCTAATTGTACCTAAAAGTAATATATTTTTAGTGATATACCATATTGTAAACTATTTAATATTTCAGTCACTTAAAAAGTTAATTTGCATTGAATAATTGTCTACCATTAAAGGAAATTTGAGCTATAATATAATCCTCGATGGGCATATTGATGGGCATATATCTCTCAAAACCTGAAACATCTACATATAAAAAGAAAAGCACAGGTCACTAATTATAATAAACTTCACTCTTGGAATTACTTCTATCACAATTACAATACGTTCATCTGCATTGGCATTTTCTACTTTTCGATGGGAAGCAATAAACTTCCCAACATTTTATATTATAACATCTTAAATGATGTAATAATTCCTCTTATGGTTACTTTTCCATAGATAACCTCATCTCTGTCCTCATGTGAATTCAGAGGCAATGAACATGAAAATTATTTACCATAAACATCGCAAACCAAAAACCTAATAAACAATTTTATACCGAATATAGAAATAAATTTAGTATTCTTACCTATTATCGACCAAATCCATGTTAATAGGTAATTATTATTTTTAAATATATTTTTGGAACTGCTGGTTTTAGTAATTATTAAATTAAATGAACTAAAAAGTCTTAAAAATAAACAATTCTTAACCATAACCCCAAAAAATGCAGATCTCCTCTCAACTTTCTTTATTTTTTATTTATTCATTATTTTCATAGTGACGTCACAGGTGGTATGCGCGAACTGAACGAAATTGGAGCCGCTATCGATCATACCTTGTATTCTTTGTACCATGCCCATATACCTATATTACATTATATCGCTAATCAGGAATAGAAATTGAAGCCAAATTTTTGAGATGGAGCTATACAAGATCCACATAAGCCGGTTTTTTTCGTCCAACAGCTTTGAACTACGCAAGCGTGAGAGGTGCTTCTCAATTAGTCGATTTATTTCATACTAACCAATAGAAGCACTTTTCTTAAGTTTCTATCTGCCACGTAAATCAATTTAGCCTCTGACTATTCGCGCCTTTACTTATAAATTTAAATTTAATCTTTGACATATTTAAACAAAAACAAGAAACGGATAGATATGATGAATATTTAAAATAACAGGTTGAAATAATAATGCCATTACCAATAAAAAAATTATATATTATACGTTATGAATATTTAGGATTAAAAATAGTGCGCGGCCAGGGGACAGAGTTCCGCGATGAAATAGACGAATGAGATCCTGTTGAACGAAAAGGATAGACTTATGCAAGATTGATATTCCTATTTCTTTTCTTTGGCTTCGCTTTCCACTCATTGTGTAAATCATATACCATATTACTAAATATACTCAGCCTAATCTCTAAAAAGTGAAGCCCAAACAGTGAAAGAGAAATATTGCATTCTGCATAAGTCTATTTAACCCGGATATTCGTTTAACTGCGCATGCCATACCTGAAGAAGTTTTCATTGGCTGACATTTCACCTACCCTTCAATTTTATTTATATTTTTATTATTTATAACACATTATCGTGGAGTTGGAAAAATATCAAAAAATAGTTGGAAACAATAAACTAAAGAAAATCATTCTTTTACGCACAAAAATAAAAAAGTAATCCAAACAGAACTAAAACAACAATCAATCGGAGTTTGGCGCAATCGCAGTTCAATCGATATCCGGGTGAAATAAACTTATGCAGCAAGCAGCATTAATATGGAGCTGAGTCAAGAACAGTTAACCTAACAGGACTGCTCATTCAGCCAAAAGTGTCTGTCAGGTGCATGCTAAAACTCCTCGCTTTGTGACGTCATTGTAGTCCTTGTCATAGTTATTAGTCCTTATCCGGCAACTCATAATACACACACGTGCATTATTGGTTGCCGGATGCAAAACGTTCATTATTTAGTTTATTTATAAACACCTTATATGTATGCAGTATAGAAAATTAACAGTATAAATCGTATTAAATACTCGGATAATGCATTTTTAATAACAGCAGTTCCCAGCATCACCTTTGGAGCCATTCTTTTTAGAGTACTTCCATATTTTGCTTTAAAATAATTAATATACAACATCGTAGGCACTTAGTAAGCACTTTGTCACAATCCACAACACAAAATGAACATATTTATACACTCTATAGCTCTAAAAACTTTAAAACATTTTTCACATTTAAAATTGACAAAATAATTAACTCAAAATTTCTCAGCTGTTATTTTTATAAGTTTACCATAGGCAACTAATAATACACACTATCATGACAAGGACTACAATGACGTCACAACTGTCAGCTGAAGCGCGGGAAGAGGCGAACATACGTCTTATGAGGATGAGCAATCCTATTAGTTTACCGTTCTTGGAGCTGAGTTATGTTTAATTTTTCTTACGGCACGGAAACAGCACACGGGGCTAAATGAAACACTGAGTATATTTAGTTATAATATGTATATGGTGGAAATGCGGTACTAGTAATACATTCTTATAATATATTTGTTAACAACTGATTTCTTATTATTTTAAAAGTGTTTTAATTCATACCATTATAATAGCGAATATTCAGACATAAAAAATAATTGCATTGAAAATGTATCATAAAAAATTAGTTAATGGTTTGATAGAACATATTTAAAATAAAGTATGGCTAATTTTAAATAATATCTACTTTGATCACATTAATAATTTTAATTTTTTAGCACCAAACGTATATAATGTACCCGAGTCTGAAAAAAGTTTGCACGATCATGCACCTAAATACAGTTTTGGAGTAAAAGCACCCATTGAAAAACCATCTGACACACCTGGTTAGTTTTAAATCACTAACTTCTAATCAGCAATATCATTTGCACATCACTGCACATACTATTAGTAACTGTTATAGTTAAATATAGTAAAATTTTTGAAGTATTTTGATTTGATTTTAACAGTAGGCATACCATTCCTATCTATATACAAGGTGTCCCAGAAATAAGTGCAAGTATTTTAAGTGGTGGTAGATATGGCCAGAAGGAACATATTTTCTCCTTACCATTTTTGAAATAAACTACTAATAACCGAGTTTTTTTCGAAATTTAGGAGGTGGCAACATTGTATTCTCACGAAGCGCTATAAACAAATTTCCAGAGACTCAACAAGCGTCCCTCAAAAGCTTTTCAATATTTTCAGGAAAATGTCAAGAAAAATATAAAAAATTTTAACATTTTTATTTCGCGAAAAAAACAAAAGGGCGTGTTTCTCGGATCGAACTATACTACCAGTTTAAATACTTGTACGTATTTCTGGGACACCCTGTATATTATTTCCATTTTTTTAATGACTTTAAAACTCGAGATTTGTTTTTCATAAACTTTGGTATAGTAAAACATAATGCATAATCAATTATTTAGCTACGATAGTTACTTCTCTTTCTAAACGTAGCTCAATATATTTTTTTATATTTTAATTTCTAGCTCCGAATGTTTATAGAATACCATCAGGAGAAAAATTGGATAATACGCCAAAATATAGTTTTGGTGTTAAACCTGACTTGGTTAAACCATTTAATACTCCTGGTTAGTTAGACATATATTTATATACTTATATAACAGAACAAAAAAGCTATAAGCGATACCAATTAAACTTTTAGTTACGTAATCGAGGACGCAATTTTTAAATTCATTATTGTCAACCAAGGACATATTCGGCGCCTGGATTTTAGCCCAGGGCCCGTATTCTATAACTCTGACATAAAAACGTTACGCTTTCAAAGCGGTGAGCGCAAGTAATCGATCAGCGAAACGCAAGGCAGTCGATTTTGGTATTCTCGTTGCCATGCGAATCGTGTTCTGGATACGCGTGGAGCACATATTGGCAACATCACAATTTCTAATGTAGCTAACAGTCAAAAGTTGATAACTGACGGATGTAACAATGAAAAATGTCAATGTTACGTGAATTTCATAATCTATTGTTGAGTTATGTCAAGCTATTTTTCTACGGATGTCATTATTCTTATTATACTAGGGAAGTATCGAAGACTGTTATCAGCATTTTCGATGTTTTGAACAATATTTATAGGTGCCAAGTCGTAAATTATCAATTACTTATTGAGGAATTTATATAAGAAGTTTTAATTTTCATTAAAGAGCAAGATAACGCACAAAATCACAAATTTTTCGATCTTTACTGACGACAAGCAAAACGATCCTTTAAGGCAACCGTTTTCAAAGCGCTTAGCGCAATCATAGGCCAGTAAACGTAGCCGAGTGTTATATGTAAAGGTGGGAAAAATTAGTAACCAACCAATCTCAACCTTTGAATAAGAAGACTAAGGAAGGAGCATAATGCTATCCATGTATTCATGCATGGTGGGCGGAAAAGCCACCATAAAAGCTCTCTAGGGTGGGGATCCTTGACAGTTCTGTTTGACAATTCATTTGACACATTTGAATTTGATTTGAAATTTTGTGGATTTGTCAGTCTTTACGGAGCTTATTTTATGTTATTTATTATTTATTCTACTACTGATAGTTGTATAAAGGTAGTAAATCTAGATGGAAATTGTGGCAGAACTTAAATTAACAGTGACACTATCGCGATTTATCGAAAAGACTCTAAAATAGTTGGTTGTGTAGCGTGCGGTAGATCTCGGCAAAAATTGAGTGAAATAATGGAACAACTTTTCGCTAGTAAGTGACTATATAATATACATACGTGTAGTAAACCGATCATTTATGAAATTCACTTAAATTAACTAAATTATATATTTTTCTTGCATTTTAGCTTTTATTTATTACTTGTCAAAGATTAGATGTCAAAGAATTTAGATACGTTAATTTGACTTACCTGCTTCAGTAGCGTATCAGATGTTTGTGTTAATAAATACTTATTATAACTTATCTATTTTATTAGAATTATATATTTTTATAACAATTTTAATAACTACCAACATTTATTCACAACGTAAAATAAAACAACAAATTATTGAGTCTACCCCACGTCTACCCTACATCATAGTTTTACATTTTTTAAATAAAATTAGAACGACACTGATAAACCGGAATTTAAGTCGGCCATATTTGAGGCCCATCGCGGTGTACCTAAGATTTTTGATATGCTCCTTCCTTAGTCTTCTTATTCAAAGATCTCAACGGGAATATGTAGATAATGATCTCCTATTTAACCTCTCAAAAGTCCCATTCGGTCCCAGTGGGGGAAGTTTGAAAAAAACAGCCGCCATCTTGGATTTTTTCGTTTTTCTTAATATCTCCGTTTGTATAACTTTTTTCGTTTGGTTTGGTTTGGTTTTCCATCCATAGTGTAAAGGATCTAACTTGTTACCAATCCCATTCTTGAATCTAAAAAATACAATTTATAACATTTCCTATAATAGATATAGCTTTACAGTTACCTGAAAGGATGTCCGAAGTAAATGGAGTTTTGCAGAGTTCTCAGTTGGAGGCAAATTATCAAATTAACTAAATTAAAGGTAGTCTTAAGGGTTTGTCTTGATGTTATCCTATTGTATAGAGTGTATCTTCTAATAATAATAGAATAATAACTGCCGTATATAGCGTTTAACTCCTTGGGAGTAGCAAGGCACAGCTTGCCATGCTAGGGCCGTTCGGTATAAGGAAGTTAATGTGGCTAGCACTACGCTTTAACCGCCTATTACCTCAGGATTGTGAATCCCAAGTACTTATTTAAGGCTGAGTCGACCAAACAGAGTCGTACCCAAACTATTTTTATTTTATGTATAACTAACTAGTCGACTGATGAACTGCCGGCTAGCGCGGCTGTAGGATTCGAATCCACAACCTTTAGATTGGTAGACAAGAGGTGTACCTCTACGCCACCGGGTACCTATAGAGTGTATCTCAGAGGGTTAATATGTTTAATATAGCGCGGGTAAAATATAATTTAATCCTGAGTGAAACAAGTCAAAAATGTGGCTGTCGGTACTGAAAAAAGATTATGATCTTTGTCAATACCTCGACGTATTTTTAGAAAAAAATGCTAACAAAGATGACTTGTTTCAGTCAAAATTAAAATATCTTTTAACGCTATATCACTGCCCAAGCTATATTAAATTATATTAACCATCTGAGATACACTCTATACAATAGGATTACATCAAGACAATGCCTTAAGACTACCTTGAATTTAGCTAATTTGCCTCCAACTGAGAACTCTGCAAAACTCCATTTACTCAGGACTGTAACTTTCAGGTAACTGTAAAGATATATTTATTATAGGAAATATTATAAGTTGTATTTTTTAGATTCAAGAATGGATTCGTAACAAGTTAGATCCTTTACAATATGGATGGAAGAAAGATCAAAAAGGCAATCTGACACCTATTCAATCAACAGAAGATGTAGCACCTCCTGACCCACTAAAATTATTTTTTTGCAATTGCAAAGAGATTCAGTGCTCTAAAAATTGCTCTTGTAGAAAACTGGGTCTTAAATGTTCTTCAAGGTGTGGTCAGTGCTACGGAATCAGTTGCACAAACTTTTGTATTTTAATTTAGGACGAAAATGACGCTCAGGATGACGTCATAGCACATTTTATTTAATAGCTTTAATTTAATAATAATTTTTAAACAATACCTTTATTTATAAATAATACTTTAAACGTTATTTTTAATTGTTTTAATGCTTAAATTTATACTTGGTTTACCTATATTCGCACTATACTGTTAACGCAAAAATAATAGCTGATTGGTTTAAAAAACCTAGAAAATTTATAAAACGTATAGTAAAAAATTGCTCTATCTCTATTATTATTTATGTTAGAAAAAAAGTGATTGAAGGTAAAATATTCTAAATTTAATTCTCTACAAAAAAGCATACCTTTAGTTGTTTCGAAAAAAGTTATGCAAACGGAGATATTTAAAAAAAACGAAAAAATCCAAGATGGCGACGGTTTTTTTCAAACTTCCCCCACTGGGACCGAATGGGACTTTTGAGGGGTTAAATAGGAGATCATTATCTACACACTCCCGTTGAGATCGGTTGGTTACTAACTTTTTCCACCTCAACCTCCAGATTGACTGGCCTATCAGTAACGACGCCAAGCGCGTCAGATGAGAATACCCAAACCGGTAGTTAAGTGCGCGCTCAGCGAAAATTAACGTCATATACGCTGAGCACAGAACAGATACAAAATTTGTATCTGTTCTGTGCGCTGAGCGTCTAAAAGCGCTTAGCGTTTTCGGAGTTACAGAATTCGGGCCCAGGGGGGGCCTAGCACCTTTGTTTTTTTAAAAATGAAAAATAATGTTAAAAACACATTTTTTGAATAAAACGTTTACATGAATTTCTCTATCAATAAATTTCATAGACTTGGTTATCAAACCGTGTTCCCGTAGATTACTTAAATATCTACAAATTTTCTAAAAAAATAAAAATTAACCCTTTTTTTGAACACAACAAAATAATATTAACTAAACAAAACTAGAAAACGTCATTTTACTGCATCACAAGCAAATAAAAATTAATACTTAACCAAGATTCATAATTCAGGATTTCTCTGGGCGGTGCCCAGCAGTACATGGGGGGGCCCGGCACCCCCGGGCACCTATCTAGTTACGCCAATGCTCTTAAGTGCTGTTAAGGAGGTGAGTTTTGCTGATACAAATTTGTAATAAATTTATTCTTAAAATATTTCGATTAAAAGAAAATATGTAAAAGTGGGCAACACTGTGCCGGTCAAGCTTAATCACGTGACTAAAAGTTTATTTGGTATATTTATCTAACATGAAATATTTTAGTTCTTTAATCAAATAACGATTTATTTTCTTAAATATCGTAGCTCCCAATGTCTACAACATTCCAAAAGCCGATTCTGTTTTACTCGATAATTCTCCAAAGTATTCTTTTGGAAATAAAGTTAATTTGGAAAAGCCTTTGGAAACTCCTGGTGTGTTTAAGTTTTTTTAGTTTATTGCTTGTAATTGTAATACTTATTCGTTTGCTTATATGTATATGTACCATACTTTTATCTACGCCAGTCAGTTAAGAAGCTCCTAACTCCCGCATTTTGAGTGAGTTAAGAGCTTCTTAACTCACGCTTTTTCATTACCGCACTCCTTGTTTAGATGACTACCAAAGAGAAAAAAATAATTTGTAAAACATTTATTTTGCACTAAATTAGAAAAATATGTTATGAGTACCTTTTCATTTCCATAGTTGTGTACTTTTTTTTCGGTGCACCATTTTTCATACTTAAATAAATAAATAAATAAATGCCTTTATTGTCAAAAAATTTTTCAATTTGTAGACAAAGGTAAACTAACAAACAAAGTAGAAAAAAAATAACAAAGTACACAAACAAACAAACAAAAGATAATACAAAACATTATATAAATAATATCGTCAGTCTTATTGTTAAAATAAACATTTATAAATGTTTACAATGTAAAATACCAAAAAATTTAAAATAATATTCAAAAATATTTAGCCAGTTTATAGCAAAATATCAATGACCTCTAAATAAATTAATTTCGATGTCATTAGTAAATATAGCAATAGCAAACATTAGACCAGTGTTTTCAAGATCAAATTCGATTTTCAATTCAAATATAATTCATTTACGGCGTAGAAAGCCTTGTCTAGTAAATAAGAGTTCAATGCTTTGCGAAATGAAAAAAATGATGTTATGGATTTGATTTCAAATGGCAGGTGATTGTGCATTTTTTTTCGAGTTGTATAATATTGAACTTTTAACTAACTCTGAGCGTGGGGTAGGTAGATAAAGATCTTGCTCCGCGTTCCTGAGTGGATAAGTGTGAGATGGCCTTTCTTGAGAAGCTGATACATGTTTACGTATTAGGCAAACGGATTCAAATATAAATAAGGAAGGAAGAGTCAATATTCTTAATTCCTTAAAAAAGTCCCGGCAATGAGTTCTGCTGTTTAGTCCTAGTGAATATCGAACAGCTCTCTTCTGGAGCTTGAAAATGCGGACAAATTGAGTCGCACAACACGTACCCCAGAATGGAAGGGCATACCTTAGGTGCGACTCAAAAAGTGCATAATAAACAGTTCTAGCCACTGACAAGTTAAGCTCCTTAGAAACAGACCTTAATGCAAAACAGGCAGAGCTCAATTTTTTCGACAAAGCTTCGATATGTATGTCCCCTTTCAGAGAATTGTCCACAACAAGCCCTAAAAATTTTACAGATTTTACGTCAATGGTGGTGTTGTTAAGTACAAAAGGCTGCAACGAGTTTTTATACGACAAAGCTTTAGTTTTAGAAATGTTGAGACTCAGGAGGTTCGAATCGCACCAAGATTTAATGGTGATTAAGTCATTTGATATAATCCTATGAAGTGCCGTGATGTCCTTGTTGCTCCAAGTGAAGCTACTGTCGTCCGCAAAAAGACATATTTTGCCACTGGTGTTTTGTTAGCAATGTCGTTAATAAAAAGAAGAAACAAAATAGGGCCTAGTACTGAGCCTTGTGGTACTCCACATTCTATTGGCTTGCTAGAAGACAACGTGGTATCCACCCTCACAAGTTGACTTCTGTTGCTCAGATACGACTTAAACCATTCGAGAGATGATCCCTGAACCCATAGTGCTGCAGTTTATTAATTAGGATCTTATGACTTACACAATCGAACGCCTTAGAAAAATCACAGAAAATTGTTGCTGTAGAATGATGGTTGTTTAGGCTGGAGTCAACTTTATTAAGGAGGGAAAACATAGTGTCATTTGTGGACTTGTTGCTTAGAAATCCAAATTGATATTCAGTAAGTATTTTGTACTTAAACAGAAAAGATACCAGCCTTCTTTTAACCAACCTTTCTATGATCTTAGATAGCGTTGGAAGGAGTGCAATTGGGCGATAGTTAGAAGCTTCATCTTTGTCTCCTCCTTTGTGCAGAGGAATGATTATTGCCGTCTTAAGACATTTTGGAAAAATACCATTTTGGAACGACATGTTTATTAAAGTTGTTAGGTGATTCAGAGTGCTTTCTGGCAGATTCGAAAACACTTAGAGTATGTATATTCATACTTCTGTTTCGATCTTGCTGGAAGCAATCCAGAAATGGCTCTGAATGCCTCTTCTTCAATATCAGAGGGAATACTTTCCCAATCGCTCATTTTTTAAACTAGTGACATCAATATTATTTACTGACATATTGACATTGCCATGCATGGTGTTATTTGAACAAAGGTATTAAGTTAAGTACAATACTTTTTAAAATTCATTGTATGTTTTTATAGTTAGACGTAGATAAAATATTGTACAATACACACGAATTAACTCCATTATGATACTTGTAGGGTTACACAACTCGTGTTACGCACTCGTGCAACTTTCACACGCATATCTTAATGATGCTCTTAACTCACTTGTATCGTAAATATCTATTATTGAACTATTTTTTTAACTTGGTAAAAAAGTTCCCTGGAAATATGATACTTTGTAAGTTCAATCTAACGGCAAAAATGGTATGATAAAACTACTTCAGTGGAAATCAGCTAACAACAAAATGAAATTTAAATGCAAACTTTAATTAATTAATTAAGCAATTTTGAAAATTCGAGTAGTTACTAACCGAATCGTACATCAACGGTATAATTTTTTAAAACGATTTTTATTATTTTAGCGCCAAACGTGTACAACATACCATCAGTTGTGGGAGACATAAAAGGAGCCCCAGCGTACACCATCTCTGGAAGAAACAAAGAACCTATCGATGAGAGAGTAAAGAATCCAGGTCCGGGGCAGTACAATAACGTTGATCCAGAAAATTATAAAGTACACTCTCCAGCCTATACAATCAGTGGAAGAATAAATATTCCTAAAGATGACACTATTCCTGGACCAGGGGTATATTCTCCAGAAAAAGTAGGTTGCGCTGTTAAGCTTCTTGGTGTCTTCTAAATATTAAATAAATAAATTAAATTAATGCCTTTATTCTCAAAAAAAATTACAATTTGTAGATAAAGGTAAAGTAAAAAAACAGACAAAAGATAATACAAAACATTATACAAATAACATTGTCAGTCTTATTGTTTAAAATAAACATTTATAAATGTTTACAATGTCAAAGAACAAAAAAATAAAAATAAGTTCAAAAATATTTAGTAAGTTTATACTAAATATCAATGACCTCTAGATAAATTTACCTCGATATCATTGGTAAATATAGTAATATCAAACATTAGACCAGTGTTTACAATATCAAATTCGATTATCAAAATATAAGTCATTTACGGCGTAGAAAGCCTCGTCTAGTAAATAAGATTTCAATGCTTTGCGAAATGAAGAAAATGATGTTATAGATTTGATTTCAAATGGCAGGTGATTGGTTATTTTTTTCGAGTTGTATAATATTGAACTTTTAACTAACTCTGAGCGTGAGGTAGGTAGATAAAGATCTTGCTCCGCGTTCCTGAGTGGATAAGTGTGAGATGGCCTTTCTTTAGGAGCTGATGCACTATGATTTATTATACTATGTTGTGTTCTCTCTTTGTTGAATCTTTGTCTACCAGATTCAAAGAAAAAATAAGTTGCTCTATCATTAAGATGTAAAAAATGTCTATACCTATGTGACGGATTCATCTCTCCAAAAAATCATATATGGGTATTTCGCCATTGCAAGAAAATCTACAAAATAAAATAGTTATTTTTTGTAAACACTGCTGGCGTTAATCCAAACGGAAACAACTTGTCAGAAGTTAGGTTTACAGATATACAAATTTGCCTAACGAATAAACAAATGCTTAACGTTTCGGAAAGTTTATCTCTTTCCGTCGTCGGAAGCAAAAACATACAAAGAATAAAGAAAAAAACTATTTAAAATATTTAAATTCAACTCTTCGAGAACACTTTAGTTTTTAACTTTGAATAAGAAGACTAAGGAAGGAGCATATCAAAAATCTTAGGTACACCGCGATGGGCCTCAAATATGGCCGACTTAAATTCCGGTTTATCAGTGTCGTTCTAATTTTATTTAAAAAATGTAAAACTATGATGTAGGGTAGACGTGGGGTAGACTCAATAATTTGTTGTTTTATTTTACGTTGTAAATAAATGTTGGTAGTTATTAAAATTGTTATAAAAATATATAATTCTAATAAAAATAGATAAGTTATAATAAGTATTTATTAACACAAACATCCGATACGCTATTGAAGCAGGTAAGTCAAATTAACGTATCTAAATTCTTTGACATCTAATCTTTGACAAGTAATAAATAAAAGCTAAAATGCAAGAAAAATATATAATTTAGTTAATTTAAGTGAATTTCATAAATGATCGGTTTACTACACGTATGTATATTATATAGTCACTTACTAGCGAAAAGTTGTTCCATTATTTCACTCAATTTTTGCCGAGATCTACCGCACGCTACACAACCAACTATTTTAGAGTCTTTTTCGATAAATCGCGATAGCGTCACTGTTAATTTAAGTTCTGCCACAATTTCCATCTAGATTTACTACCTTTATAAAACTATCAGTAGTAGAATAAATAATAAATAACATAAAATAAGTTCCGTAAAGACTGACAAATCCACAAAATTTCAAATCAAATTCAAATGTGTCAAATGAATCGTCAAACAGAACTGTCAAGGATCCCCACCCTAGAAAGCTTTTATGGTGGCTTTTCCGCCCACCATGCATGAATACATGGATAGCATTATGCTCCTTCCTTAGTCTTCTTATTCAAAGGTTTTTAACAGGTACGTCTACAAAAACCGTTGACGTTCTGTTAAAATGACATTATATCAAGTTAAACTTCAAAATTAACAATTATTACTACCTGATAACAAATACTTAATAAGGCAAAACCAAAAAGCCTCAAACTTTCTGTATGATTATTTTTAATACGTATGTTATGTTTATTTATGTTATGTTCTTTAAAATCAAGAAGCGATTGCCATACATTACTAACATCTACAGATGCACGAGCAATACATTTATTTTTATTAGATTGTATTAAAAAAGCCTCTTTTATTTTTAAATAATTTTGGCGTTGTTAAAATTTATTCTAATATTTATTTTATTTTTAATTATTTATCATTAAGATGGTCAATCGCCTTCTTAAGAAAATATTAGAATGTAAATTTGTATTACTCCTACAGTCTCACACATACTAACATCTTTTTTAGGTTGTGTCCCATTTAAGGCATGCTCCTAGCCATTCGTTTGGCATACGCCATTCTGCGTATTTGGGCTCCTATAATATGTTCCTTCAGAAAGATAAAACTTGCTTGCTTTTCTAACACGTCTTTCAAATAATATTTTCTAGGGACCTATGGTTAAATATAATTGTTTTACTAACATTTATCCTTTTAAATGGTAAGTGGTATTTATCAATCTAACAAATAATACAGGGTGACGCCTCTCATACGCCGCGGAGGATCCAAGGAGAACGATAGTTTGTATTAAAATGAAATTTTGTGAGCATATGTAGGTTAATTCAGAGCACTTATTAAAAATATAGAGAGTTCTACAGGGTGTCCCGAAAAGAAGTTACATATCAAACTTGTGTTTTTTTGTAATGGAACACTCTATATATTAATTGATTTTCGGATTCTGGAAGACAAATAAAGGTGAGTTTTATAAGAGAAGTATATGACTAAAATGTAAGGTTTTTGACCTATTTAACATTTTCTAGAAATAAAGAACAATTTTTAAATGCTACCTAAATTGGAATTTACACGGTATAGCCTAATATTTAGTTAAATTAACGATTGTACTTTAAATCAAATTAAAACTTGATCCAAAAAGTTATACAGGGTGAGACAAAATTAATATTGAACATTGGTCACGTTTAAAAGCACGTTACTCTTTTATTTTAAATGGAACACCCAGTGTATTATTCCGATATTCAAGGGAGAATTCATGTCTCTTCAGGATGCTATTAAGATTGCCTACCCCTCAAACAAAGATTTTCCTAGATATTTTCATTTACATGATTTCATCTAAGTAAATCTTTATTATTTGATAAAATCTAGGTGGCTGTGATATGTCTGACGTTACTTCAACATAACTGTCTAATTAGTTCAACTTTAACAACTAGTTATCATTTTGTGTCAGTTAAAACAAAAAAGAAATCTCAGAAATTTGCCGAAAATGCAAACTTACCCTACATCAGAGAGAATTGATATGATTCTATTATGATTTAGTTAATTAAAAGAATACTTAAATGCTCCTGATTTTATCTAGTCTGTTTTTTTATGGGGATATGTTAAAGACAGTGTTTAAAAAACTCGACTAACTATTATCCTTATTATCGACAACATGAGAGAAATTATTGTAGCTGCTTTTCGAGGTAGAACTCCACATATGCCTTTTAAAATGAAAATATTTTTTTGAAAAAACAATCATTTTATGCAGTTAACAAGAAAGGAAGCATTGTGAACATTTGATTTCATCTAGCTAATATGTGTCACATTATTATAGGTTTATATCTAGTTTTTATTGTATAATATTTAAAATATGTTTTTTAAAAAAAGGCGTATCTTTTTATTACCGTTGAGTTATTTTACTCTACATTCTTTAATTTTTGTGAAATTAACAAAAGGTATATCACACAGCCACCCCTAGATTTTTTCAAATAATAAAGATCTACTGACGCAAAATTGTAAAAATTAAAATCTCTAGGAAAATCTTTGTCTGAGGGGTAGGCAACCTTAATAATATTTTGAAGATATATAAATTCCCCATTGAACACCGGGAATAATATACTGGGTGTTCCATTTAAAATAAAGGAGTAACTTGCTTTTAAAAGTGACTAATGTTACATATTAATTTTGTCTCAACATGTATAACTTTTCGGGTTAAATTTCAATTTGGTTTAACATACAATGCTTACTGTAATTAAATATCAGGTTATACAAGGTCAACTAAAATTTAGGTAGCTGTTATCGAAATTTAAAATTTACTCTTCATTTTCACAAAATGTGAAATATGTCAAAATCCTTAGATTTTAGGTATATGCTTCTTTAATAAAACTAACCTTTATTTTTTCCTAGAATCTGAAAATTAATTAATATATAAGGTGTTCCATTAGAAAAAAAAACAACTTTGATGTGTAACTTTTTTTGGGGACACCCTGTATAATTCTATATATTTTTATAAAATGCTTTCAGTTAACCGCCAATGTAAGCTGCCAAAATGTCATTTCGATATAAACTACCGTTCTTCATGGAGGTTCCGCGGCGTATGAGAGGCGCCACCCTGTACAGGGTGGGTCAAATTCGACGCTTTTAAATGGAAACATCCTTTTCTATAGGAAATAGACGAAAACTAATATCGGTGTCTGGAGCTCAATTTTCATCAAAAACATGATGGTGAAAACCGCACATTAATATCTGTTACCGTTTCGGAGTTACGGGGTGTTTTTCAAAAATGTGCATTTTTAATAAATCGCTGTAACTTTTTTGCTATGGAAAATTTTGTATTTCTATGAAAACATTTCCAAAGCACCTTTTTACGTAGAATTTAATGGTTTAAGTATAATTTTTTTTAAATTAATAATTTAAGAGTTATCAACAGAAAAATTGATTTTTTATTTGGGACACCCTCTATATTTTTAATTAACTGAAAAGAATTTAAAATTATCTTTCCATAAATATAGCACACTTGATATTTTATTATAATCCCCTTCGAAATACAGAATTTTTAAAAGTTTTTTTTTAAAAGCCACTTTTAACTAGTACGCTTTGGACCCCTTATTGATGATATGCCTTTAATGGAACTCGAAAACATATTTTTCCAGCAAGACGACGCACCGCCTCTGAACGCTGAAGTTATCAGCAAATTTTTGCAGCTAATTTCAAGAATAATTGAATAGCTAACCAAGATCCCAGCCGTTGGCCGTCGAGACTGTCGAGACCGCCTGACTTAGTCCTTATGGATTTAATCCTATGGATATATTTGCGGAAGAATAAAGGTTCCTTATTCTTCCGTATAATCTAGACAAGAATTAGAAATACTTAGCAGTTATGAAAGGGCATCTTTCACCCCTACTGAGTTAATGAATTCCGCGACAAATGTTCAAAAACTGCCCCGTCTGTCCATAACAGAAGACGGTCGATATGTCGAAAACCTGTAGCAAAATCTCATGTCTTGGTTTGCTGTTTATTTTTATTGTTATTAGATATAGTTTAAATGTGTTGATGTTGGTTAAATATATTTCAAATTGTTATAAAATTCTGCATCTCTCATAGCAAATATCATTTTCGTTTTAATTGATGCTCACAGCTAGAATTTTTTTGCATTACAGCCGGTGCCGTTCAAAGCCCACTTATTTAAAGCGGGCGAATTTTTATATACTCTAATATCTCGAAGAGGAATCGAGGAAAATATCAAGTGTGTTATATTTTTGGAAAGGTAATTTTAAATTCTTTTCAATAAATTAAAAATATACAGGGTGTCCCATATAAAAAATCAAATTTTCTGTTGATAATCCTTAAATTATTAATTTAAAAAAATACATACATAAACCATTAAATTCTACGTAAAAAGGTGGTTTGGAAATGTTTTCATAAAAATACAAAATTTTCCATAGCAAAAAAGTTACAGCAATTTGCTTGAAATGCATACTTTTAAAAAACACCCCGTAACTCCGAAACGGTAACAGATCGATATGCGGTTTTCACCATCATGTTTTTGACAAAAATTGAGCTCCAGACACCGATATTAGTTTTTGTCTATCTCCTATAGAAAAGGGTGTTTCCATTTAAAAACGTCGAATTTGACCCACCCTGTACAGTTGGAAATGAAATTTTTCGTGATTTGAAGTTAAATTCAATTTTCAATAAACTGTTAAACTTCCGATGAACTTATTTATTTTCCAATTTTTAGGTTGTGTTAGAATACCCTCCAGCCCACAGTTTTGGAATCAGACATTCTCAATATGCCGAACACTACTAAAATCTAAAGAGGTCAAATCAAACGAAGATAGCTGATATAACGAGTCGACTGTAGTCTTAATTTATTAAACAACAACAAAAAGGAAAAGACACAGAATTTTTGTATTTTTATAAGATGGTACGTCGTAGGGAAGAGTAACTTATTCCCTTAATTTTTTATAGAATAGGTTTAAAAAATAGTTCTCGCTACTGTGAATAATTTCTACGCTTCATAAATACGTAAATACTGTATTAACAATTTCCTAGATCAGTTTTGTTAAATTAACCTGTTTGGAACAAAAAAAAAAGATAAAAATATATGTAAGTCAGCTTACAAAAAATTAAAAAAAATAGTTGTAATACTCTATAAAAATCCGAAAACAAAGAGTTATTTTAACAGAACGTCCCAACAATAAAAATTGCTTATTAATCATAAATAGGCAAGCTTCTCGGACACAAGCAATGTTTTACTTTACTTGTTTCAGATAATTTACACAATGTTAATGCCGTTTAGTTTGAATAAAATATTTAAAAATTCTTGGTATTTTTAATTTAAGTCCGAAAAACTAATAATATAACACCTTTACCATTTTACCAACTTAACTACTATAAAAATATATCTAAAATCTATGTAAAAACTGTTTAATAGTATTTTTAAAGATAAAATACATATGTATATAATACCCAAGCAGCATTTGGACGTCGGGACAACGTTGTGTCACGCGACCAAACGTCGTAGCGCAACGTCGGCACAACCTCGTACCAACCCTAGTCTGCACTAGTTTGGAGAATAATTTTTGGGTCGAAACGACGTTGGATACCGACGTTGGCTAGAAGTCTAATTTAGTACAAACTGCAACGTTGTTTAAAATCCTAATTCACAGAAATACAAAACTAATATGGCGTCTAAGTCGCGTTTTATCCTAAATTGGGATAATTATAGTAAAAATATTATTTTTATGATTTAGTTAGAGACATATGTCAGATGGCAGTGAAGGAAAACAAAATAAAAGTATTTAAGTGTGGAGGATGTTTGAAGATCATAATTATTGAAACACTTTAACCAAGGCAAAAAAGTTAAACGCAAACAACTTTATTGATAAATGTATTGTTTCTACTTTGAAAAATACTAATGGGCCTTAAAATTAAAGAAGTTTTAAAAATTTTCTTGAATTTTTTTTTAGTAAAATGAGAATAATTTATTCGCAGTCGAAAAAATTGTTTCCGCGTGTTTTTTAGGGTCAAATATTTCAAGTTAATGTATTCAAAAAGCAGGAATTGCTATTTTAGTAACGAAACGTTTTCTTATTTAACAACATGGCGGCTTTCACTTTGTTGTTTTGGAGATTAAGATGGAGTAGTTCGAGTAGTCGCATACTGGACTAATAAAGTTGCAGTTCGGCCTTAACAGGTAGTATACTAGTCGCAAGATTGCCTAATTTAGTCATCCTAGAGTCTAGCTTGTGCCGCCCTCTATAATCTAAATAAACGAGGGAGTGGATAAACTATCGGTATTATATGTCGATGTATATTTAAATTTAGTTTTATATGTACCTTTCTTATGTCCCATTTTAATTAAGTTTTTTTTATAAAAACAAAAACAGCACTGAACTGTTTGACTGAACAGAACAATGAAGTGAAAATTTAAGATTTAAGGTTATGGTTCAATACAGTTGCAAAAAGGTAGTGACTCGACGTCCTACCAACGTAAGAATAACGAAATCTAAGCAACGTTGGAATTAGTAAAACAGACGACGTTTGCATAACGTTGGAATAGGTCCTGAAACTGACGTTGGAAAACTCTATATTGTTCAACGTTGTAACTACGTTGTCCGAATCACCTAAAGATCACTTAAGCAAAAAAGGTTACAAGACAACGTTTATTCGACGTCGCAGAAACTTCTACTTTGCTGTAGTACTAATCCAACGTCGGCACAACGTTATAAAAACGTTTAAATTTATTTTAATACCCAAGATAGGGAGCTAACTATTTTTTGTAATTAATCCAACGTTGTGTTTAGTAAACATGTGGTCGCAAGTCGTGAACATGCTACTTGGGTATAGAAACAAAATATTACCTGGCGCATTCGCCATAATATATATTATATATTACCACGCACTCGGAGATAAAAAATCTTTATGCACTTTTGTCATTTCAAAAAAATATATAACGCAATTTTGTCACCATTCTGGCGATTACTTTTTAAACAATCTAAAAAATTAAAAGTAGTAAATAGTTTTTACATCCTTTGTGTAACTAAAGATATATTTCTCCAAAAAATCCTATATGAGTATTTCGCCACTGCAAGAAAAAGATATAAAAAAAGATAAATTAAAAAAAATATATATATATATAAATTAGTAAAGACATATTTCCAATATTTTACGGGAATATTGTATATCGCTCTATCCCCGTAAACAATTGTCGGATATATACAGGGTCCGGCAAAAGTGGGTCGAGCATCTATAGCTCCTAGAATAAAAAACGTCGGAATTTTGTTTAAGTTTGGTTTGGTAACCTAAAGTATATATCCACTAGGATGTATTTCAAAAAAAGATTTTAACTTTTATAGGATGGCTCAAAAAGTGTGGTAGTTCGGGATGATTTTTTTATGGAACACCCTGTATATTATTGATTTTTGACTTCCTTTCAGATCACTTTACCATAATCCTAAGATATAAGTTCCTAAGATATGTCGATAGTTTCGGAGATATTAATAAATAAATAAAAAATCTATATTTTTCATGCGTTCTTTAAAAAAAGATTAAAAATAAAGAGATTTGTCCTAAAGACAAAACTATATTTGGTATTTACTTTAGGTGACCTGTACTTACTTTGCTATAAATATTGTAATCTTAACTCTTGCAGGGTGTTCAAAAATTCTACGCCAAAATTTCTCAAAAATATAAAATAAATTTTATCTTCGTTTTTTTTAAATGTACAGGTGGTCCGAACTGTATTCCGCAAACTTCGGCAATATATTCTGCAGATAAAAATAAGTAAAAAGTTCGTATATGTCCTAAAATGCTTACGGCGCTTTCAGATGGAGCGGAGCGTCCGCGCGGACCGTCCGCGACTTCGAGCAAGTATACCATGAGCACAACCATGAGTATGAACAATTTCACATGGGTTGCGTATGCTCCGTCCGGATGACGGCCATATACATAAACACATTAATATAAAAACACGCGGACGGTCCGCTCCATCTGAAAGCGCTGTTAGTTTCGGAGATACAGGGTGTAGAAGTTTAATTTATTATTCGATTTTTTCCGAATAATTTCTGAAGTAGCGCCAATATTTGGATAAAAATTGGTGTCTGGGAGTTTTTTGACATGATAAATTTGATTTTGATGTCAATATGACTCCTATGTATAGGGGGCGCCACCTACATGTGTTTTAACTGTTTTGAAAAGTAATAACTTTTCGTCCAAACCTATATAAAACTACTGAGTGAAAAAATATAAATTTCCGTGATATTTTACGTAAAAAACGTCTTTTGGTATAAATCGCTACAAACAACTCAAAAATTTGGGAACTTTTTTTTTAAATGAATCATAAAATTTTTCTTCGAAAAAATGATAATAAAACAGTTTTTGTTGAACTTTTGGCACAAAAACATTTCAAATTTATGGTTTCAGTCTAATAACTATCGTATGATCGAAAAAAAACGGCGTGCAGTTGGCTGGGAAGTGACGATCAATAACATTTCCCATATAAATTTACATATAAAATGACAGCGATCTTCATTGCATAGCCATCGCTGACGCCGTTTTTTTCGATCATACAGTATTTAGTAAACATGTTTAATTTATGACAATGATGACAGGTATTGTTAATTTCGATTCCAAATATCTCGAGAACCATTACTCGTAACGATTTTTACCAAGAGACATATTTTACGTAAAAAATCACGGAAAGTTATATTTTTTCACTCAGTAGTTTTATACAGGTACGGACAAAAAGTTATTACTCTTCAAAACAGTTAAAACACATGTAGGTAGAACAATAATAGGAGTCATATTAACATCAAAATCAAATTTCTCATGTCAAAGAACTCCCAGACGCCAATTTTCATCCAAATATTGGCAGAAATTCAGAAATCATTTGGAAAAAATTGAAATAAAAATTAACTTCCACAAGGCCAATTCTATGCAAAGTCCAGAGACTAGCATGTGTTTGCATCACAGGAGCCATGAGAACCTGTCCAACAGCAGCAATGGAGGTCATTCTAGATCTAACACCACTGCACATTGTCATTGGTAGATATGCCAATGCGACAATGATTAGAATGGTCACTAACGGAATTAGTACTGGGAGAATTGTCAGATCAGGGCTTTGGAACACCCTCAAAAACGAAATACCACTCCTGCAACTCCCAGTGGACGATATGCCAGAACGTACAACTTTGACAAACATGTCAATGTAGTATTGAGCAATAAGAAGGATTGGAAGAGCGAAACGCTTGCCCAGCAGTTAAAAGACCATACCATAACTTGGTATACTGATGCTTCCAAAACCAATACGGGAACAGGGATCGGAGTGTTTGCGCCGAGAGCTAATTACTCCGAACCAATGGGCACTTACCCTAGTATCCTACAGGCAGAAATCTACGCTATCGAGAGATGCGTACAACTTATCTTAGATAGGAACTATCGGAAACAAGAAATAGCCATCTTATCGATAGTCAAGCAGCGTTAAAGGCGATCAACTCAGTATCAATCAATTCGAAATTGGTCAAAGAATGCATAGAGAAGCTGAATAAATTAGGCAAAGAAAACAAAGTCCTCCTACACTGGGTGCCTGCTCACCAAGGGATAGAAGGCAATGAAAAAGCAAATAATCTAGCTAGGAAAGCAGCGAACACTCCACTAACTGAACCAGAACCGTTCTGCTTTCCAAGTGGTAACCAACTCAAGGCGGAACTCAAGAACTTGGAAGATTCCATCCGCAACCTGGAATGGAAATTTTCCAATGGTCTAAGACACTCGAAGAAGTTTCTGAGGGCTTATGATGAAGAAAAATCACAGATCTTCCTGGGTCTGAGTAAGAACAATCTTCGGATTGTCACGGGGTTTTTAACAGGACACTGTCTCCTCAACGAACACCTCAGTAGATTGAAACTAAGAAGAAACGGCGAATGCAGATTCTGTGGGGAAGATGGGGAAACACCAGTACACCTCATCACTGAGTGCGCCGAGACGACAACCATTCGTGCCATGAATTTTGGTACGACTGATATTGGAGATGGAGAACTACCCTCTATAAAACCGTCCCAGATACTGGCTTTTGTCAAAGCCCTGGGACTGTATGATGAGTTATGATTCAAGAAAGGGGGACACAATGGATCTGTAAGGTCGAAGTGATTAACCCCCCTCCCACTCATTCTAAATTCTAAAAATTCTAAAACTTCCACAACCTGTATCGCCGAAACTAAGCATTTTAGGACATGGATTTATACGAACTTTTTCACTTATTTTTATCTGCAGAATATGCTGCCGATGTTTCCCGAAATACAGTTCGGACCACCTTGTAGATGGCTGGATGAAAGAAAGTAAACCTATAGATCTAAATCGTGTAATAGATCTTAATATTCTTTTAAATATGAAACAGAGAGACATGTTTTGTAACACACCGGATGTGACATCATAAATTCTCGGTGCATTAACTTTCTCTGAAATAAATTCTTCTCTCAATCAGCATTTTTCTTGTGATAAGGTAAGGTACCTGTTTGTTATTGTATGCTGTAGTATCTAACGTTTAATATTACGGATAATGCTGCACTTGTATACAGAATGAACATGCTATATACAAGATTATTTACACATTATACAGTATGTCCCCGGATTGTCTTTACAAGAGGAAACACTTTTTTATTATTGACATTTTGAGAAAAATGCATTCTTCATAAAAAAAATTACTTATTCTAAAATGGTTAATCCCGTTCATAATTTTCCAAATTTCCATTTTTTAACGAAAAACTAAAAAAAAATCCAAAAAACTTTTTTTTCGGGAAAAAAATCATAAACGTGTTTGTGGGATCGGAATATACTACCCCTAAAAATATTTGCACTTATTTAAGACTCGCCCTGTATAGCATGGAACTAAATAATTGTTGTACTTCTTTAACATTTTAAAACAGCAAAAAATATGACGTTAATGAAAATTCTAACAATAGCTTACTTCGGGTTTCTCTTATTACCGATTCTGAACCGTCCTAGAACTGTGATGCGTATGCGCAGAAGGAAATATAAAGACATTATTTCATTTGCGCATGCGCTGCAGAGGTCTAGGACGGTTCAGAATCGGTAATAACAAGAACCCGAACAAAGCTAATAACAACCGATCAAAAAATGAAAACTGAATCGTACTACCATAGAAAAATACCATAGAAGAATTCCCTTTTTGATTTTTAGGACTTAAATAGAATTCTTAACTTCATATATAGAGGGTGTCAAAAATAGTGTATCTAACTCACCAAGGGTGATTCTACAGATAAAAATAAAACAAAAAGTTCCTAAAATGTCCTAAAATGCTTCCCGAAGAAAGGTTAAAAAAATGATAAAGAACATTGATAAACCATTTATTCTTGAAATTTAGTACTTTTACACACAATTTAATGGTAAAACGAATGGCGATTGTGAAAGATTCCGTGACGGTCCTGAAAAAGGGCACTTTCTATTAGGGTAGAGATTACTACTGGTGGTACTTCTTTTATCCTTATGGGTAGAGTAATTTCAACAAATAATAGAAAAAGCTAGAACTTTTTTACGTAAAACAGGTGCGCTTGGTTTAGTTCTAAAAGGTGAACGGTTTTCAAGATATTTGCGTTTCGATTTTTGCAATAGCGAAATCAATTTATTCAGGGTTGTTCACAATTTTTAATTTACAAATTGTAAGTTTTGGGTTCGTTGAAGGACTATTAGAGCTACAATTTAAAAATATTTTCACAAGATACAGAGTGTCCCAAATAAATAAAAAATATCAAAGTTGTATTTTTAAATGGAACACCCTGTATATTATTACATTTTTAGTTTCTACGATTAAAATAAAGGTAAATTTGATTAAGGTTTACCGCATTTTAATCTTACCGTTTTCGAAATATTTAGGTTTTTGTCAAAATACAGTAATAATTTTATTTTTCTCTAGCGTATTTAAGTTTTTAAAACCAAATATTGTACTGAAGTTTATAATTTACCAAATTTTGTGTTGCAATAATACAAATTATACTACCTTATACAGAGTGTCTAAAACTTTATCTTAAATAATTACTTGCTTTAAACGTCAATAAGTTGTTTAATTTAAATGGAACATCCTGTATATTTAACGAAAATCAGATGCAAAATTGAATTCTTTATCAAATTGTATTATACCATTTCTTATCTATCTCTTCAAGTTTTCGTAGAAAATGCATTTTCTTATAATTTAAACCTCATTTATCAATATACCTATGGAATATTGACATTTTAGATTATTTTTAAAGATGTATCAAATTTTTAAAGAGTACAGATACTAATATTACCTTTATAGTAAGTTAAATATTTGTTAGGTAAAAAGAACCAGTTAATATGATTCCAGTATTTAAACTACGAAACTACATTAATTGACTGTTTGCGTTGATTAATAATAATTGCTCCAACTACTAAAAACCCGAATTTTGTATGTGTATTATACAGTGTGGTAAAAAGTAATACCACAGCTTGTAATACCTTAAAGATTTTATTTCATTTTTTGACGAATGCTTTTTTATAACAACAGAGACATTTATTTTCATAAGTTATTATTATACTGATTTCTGATTCAAATCCACATTTATTTAGAATAATCTATTAACTAACACAACTAAGTATTGTAGAAAAAAAATCGTCGGAGTTTGGGAAGTTTTTTAAAAATATCAAAATAAGATTAACTGACCACTTACCCAAGTTAATCTTATTTTGATATTTTTTAAAAAACTGCTTCTCCTATAGTGCCTGAAGAAGCGACAATAAAGTCGCGAAACGTCGCAAAAACATTGTTTCCTTTCAAGCCTTCCCAAACACCCACGATTTTTTTTCTGCATATTAACTACTGGGAACTAACAATAATCATCACTAAGTATTGTGTTCCATTTAAATTAAAGAAGTTATTGCCGTTTAAAGCTAGGAATTATTTAAAACTTTTAGAAACTCTGTATGATGTAGTATTAATTTTATTATTGCAACACAAGAAATGATCCATAAATAAACTTTAGTAAATATTTAGTATTAAAAACTTTGACACCCTTTGAGAAATGAAAAGCCTTAAAATTTTTACTGCAATTTCACAAAATTGAAAATAATTCAAAAACGGTACGGTTTAAGTGTGATAAACCTTAATCAAATTTATCTTTATTTTAATCGTAGAAACTAAAAATGTAATAATATACAGAGTGTTCCATTTAAAAAAATACAACTTTGATATTTTTTTATTTATTTGGAACACTCCGTATCTTATAAAAATAGTTTTAAATTGTAGCTCTAATAGTCCTTTAACGAACCCAAATTTTACAATTTGTAAAAATCTAATCGTTTAGCGACAATACTCCGTGTCGTATGTGGTGAACAACCCTGTTTAAAATTTCTTTACATTTTATCATTTCACAATAATTGTTTAATATAACATTTAAAACAAGAACACAATTTTACGGTTTTATTTGTTAAAGTTATTATTCAATTAAGAATTAAAATGGAATAAAAGTACATATATTATGAGTAATGCACTCTTCCTGCCTATTCAATTGACATAATCGTCTGTTTAAAAACAGACCATGCAGTGACTAAAATGGCGAAACGATATTCAGAGCCAGAAGCCCACGTCCACGTTTCATTTACATTTTCCGAAAATGGAATCGATGGTAAATGATTGTTTAATAATGTTTGTTAACAGCGAACGCTCGGTATCGCTGCAGTATACCGCGCAGCAGTTATACTGCTGGCGCTGCTAAATATCTTCCTGCAAATATACCTAACTTTCCTGTCTACCATTCCCATAAGTAAGTGTCTGACGCGCGTATTCGTAACACTATGGCGTAACTGACTCAAAAATTCGAAAAATACAGTGTTGGGTGCTTTATAATTGTGTATTTTCGTTATTTCTTCAGGAGTGACGGAAAAAAGTAAAATTAAAAAGTGGCAAGCAAGTGGTTGTTTTTGGATTAAGCCTGTTTTTTTTTGGAGTGGTAAGTGTCAAAATATAGCCCGAGGCTCTCTTAAGATGATGTCAAGGTTTTTTGGTGATTACGACGAATATTATGTTTAACAAAGAAAAAAACATTTTCCTTTATTTTTAAATTATGTTCTTTTTTTCTTACATACAGATCTACTTTGCTTGATACCACTAAAAATCTATATAATATTATTTAGTATATATGTAGTAACAAATAATCCTCTTCAATTTTTATATACAAAAATGGAAAAATATTGCAATAAAAATGGACTAAGAATTATCACAGCCATCTTAAATATATTTCTATTCCTGTAAAAAAATAGACAAAATTTTTAAAGAGTATTTAAAAAAATATATATAGTAATACGCTTATATTTGGTTTTTTTATGATGGATTTATATAAAATAAATATAAAAATATGATTCAAGTAAAAGATAAGTCAAAAAATAAAAACAAATACTGTACTGCAATTTTCAAGTACCTAAGTAGATATAATATTATGAAGTTTAGTATTTTTTAACGAATAAATATTTCTTATATGTGTCTTCGAATTTTATATACAAAAATTGAAAAATATTGAAATAAAAATGGACTAAGAATAATCACAGCCATATATTCCTATTCCTAAAAAAATATACGGGGTGGTCCGAACTGTATTCCCGAAACCTCGGCAGCATATTCTGCAGATAAAAATAAGTAAAAAAGTTCGTATAAATGTATGTCCTAAAATGCTTAGTTTCGGAGATACAGGGTGTAGAAGTTTCATTTTTATTTCGATTTTTTCCAAATAATTTCTGAAGTAACGGTCATATTTGGCTGAAAATTGGTATCTGGGAGTTTTTTGACATGAGAAATTTGATTTTGATGTCAATATGACTCCTATTTGTAGGGGGCGCCACATACATGCGTTTTAACTGTTTTGAAGAGTAATAACTTTTCGTCCGTACCTGTATAAAACTACTGAGTAAAAAAATATACATTTACGACTTTTTTACGTAAAAAATGTTTCTTGGTAAAAATCGCTACGAATAATGGTTCTCGAGATGTAAAACAACTCCTACGCACCAATTTTCATCCAAATATTGACATTACTTCATAAACTATTTGGAAAAAATCGAAATAAAAATGAATCTACTACACCCTGTATCTCCGAAACTAAGCATTTTAGGACATATTTTCGGACTACCCTGTATATGCAGTAAAACGCTTATGTTTTTTTTATGATGGATTTATATAAAATAAATATAAAAATATGATTGAAGTAAAAGATAAGTCAAAAAATAAAAATAAAGGGGGATATAATATCAAGTTTAGTATTTTTTAACGAATAAATATTAAAAAATATGATAAACCGTATCAAAAATATATACCGGGTGGTAACATAGGAAATCCCATGCAAATTTTGAACTGTTATATATTGGCTACTTTGTTAATTTTGCCGTTAACTCGTAAAGATGAGTTTTTTAAGGTCTCCTATGCTGAATACACATATGCCAAATTTGAACAATTTTGGACAGGCCGATTTTAATTATACAATTGAACCAATCAAATGTCAAGATACCTTAAGTTGTCAATCTGTGATTTTATCATTGTCAAATGTAATTTGTTGTGCTGTTTACACTACTGCGTTATAGTGCCTACGCTTAGTGTCCGCAAAATGTATTTCTGTAATTTAAAAATGGTCGAATGAGGCAAAAGTCTAACGTTTAGAAAATATAATTTGACATTGACAAAATTATGGGATAACAATCTAAGGTAAGGTTTTTCAATTATTGTTGGTACTTACCAGTCTTAATGTAAAATTAAATAGCTTTATACTTTCTAAACGTATTAAACTATCAGTATGCACTCCAATGCACTTAAACCTGTTGAAAAATTCATAAAGTCGAATATTTTGACCTTTTTATACCTACGTCCTTAAATTTGCACAATAATAATAAATGGTTTAAAGCTGATATACAGGAGCTAAATTGCCACAATATTATGATGTCATCCAATTTAAATGAGGCCACATTGAGCAGTGTTTGTTTGTAAATAATAAAAAAAAAACGGAGAATCATTTTGTGCAGCATCTGTACCATATCAGACAAACGAGAACTTCTATATACCGAGTGTGTAGATCGAATTTTCAAGTGGTGAATACAGTGGATTACTTTGAAAAATAATAATAAGTAAACATTATTTTAAATGCCCGAAAATTAAATTTTAAATCAGAAACAAATATATTATTTTTCAAACGTCACAAAAGTATTAATTTTTGCGACGTGATTTATCTTTGAATAAGAAGACTAAGGAAGGAGCATATCAAAAATCTTAGGTACACCGCGATGGGCCTCAAATATGGCCGACTTAAATTTCGGTTTATCAGTGTCGTTCTAATTGTATTTAAAAAATGTAAAACTATGATGTAGGGTAGACGTGGGGTAGACTCAATAATTTGTTGTTTTATGTTACGTTGTGAATAAATGTTGGTAGTTATTAAAATTGTTATAAAAATATATAATTCTAATAAAAATAGATAAGTTATAATAAGTATTTATTAACACAAACATCCGATACGCTACTGAAGCAGGTAAGTCAAATTAACGTATCTAAATTCTTTGACATCTAATCTTTGACAAGTAATAAATAAAAGCTAAAATGCAAGAAAAATATATAATTTAGTTAATTTAAATGAATTTCATAAATGATCGGTTTACTACTCGTATGTATATTATATAGTCACTTACTAGAGCGAAAAGTTGTTCCATTATTTCACTCAATTTTTGCCGAGATCTACCGCACGCTACACAACCAACTATTTTAGAATCTTTTTCGATAAATCGCGATAGTGTCACTGTTAATTTAAGTTCTGCCACAATTTCCATCTAGATTTACTACCTTTATACAACTATCAGTAGTAGAATAAATAATAAATAACATAAAATAAGCTCCGTAAAGACTGACAAATCCACAAAATTTCAAATCAAATTCAAATGTGTCAAATGAATCGTCAAACAGAACTGTCAAGGATCCCCACCCTAGAGAGCTTTTATGGTGGCTTTTCCGCCCACCATGCATGAATACATGGATAGCATTATGCTCCTTCCTCAGTCTTCTTATTCAAAGTGATTTATAATATAAAAAATGGCATTTTAACGCATAGGCATAAAAGTACGAAAATATATTATTAAACTGACATAAAGTGTCAATTTCAACGAGCGTAACCATAGTTTCTCGATATATAATTACATACAATAAGTTATGACCAATGACTTTTAAATCTTTTTATATTATTTGGAACGTTTAAAATTGTTTAAAAATTATTTGTGGCAATCTTTGGTGGCAACTGAAAAAAATAGCATGTTCTGTTCGGAGTAAAAATTAGATACTTTTTGTGCATCAGCTGTATGTCAAACCGAAACGTACAGCCTCGCGGCAAAAAGTGTCATTTTAACGGTTGATGCTCACTATACCTTCCGTTTCCATTCCATATCCGTTCCTTTTTTTTATTGCATTGACGCTACACGTAAGCTTCCGTTCCGTATCAGTTCCATACTTTTTATTGTACAATTTATATCATTACGAAAGTTTTAAAAATTTGTATCTTTTGAAAAAGGTAATAGATTTAATTAAGAGGTGAAATAATAAATAAATATCAGCACAATTTTAACAAAGCTGGTACAAAAAATGTAAAAACTTGACAACGCTGTTTCCGATACGCTTCAGTCCGTCAAAAAATGTATGGAGGGAAAGGATATATGTAACGGAAGGGAAACGGAACGGATAGTGTGCATTGTCCTATTTATTTACATGATATAATATTTTATATAAACGGAAGGGAAAGGGAAGGGAGCTGATATGGAAGGTATAGTGAGAATCAACCTAATAAAACAATACACTATTATGCCAATGCTAAAAAAACGGTACAAAAAATATTGCATATTAATTATTTTAATTATGAATATATATCGGGATAACCGATAAACAAAAAAATTGTTGGTATATTATAAATATGCCCCTTTAGAAAAAGCGTGTTTTCAATATTATATTGCTTGCTTTTATATGCTTCAATTCTTGTTTAAAAAATTATTAAAATCCTCTTTTATTCTGTTGGGTTGCTAATTATATGAAAGAGTATTAAATTTTTCAATCTTAACTTAGCCAATAGACTTACAGTATATGCAGAAATACAAAATTAGTAGTAAAAAATAGTAGTGGGAACTATCGAATGAATACTATCGAAACATTCGATAGTTGCAATTCATTCGAATAATTCGATGGCTAGTAAAAAAACATTCGTTGAAAACTATTCGAATAAAAACTATCGAATAGATGCGCCATCTGCCTTGAAATATTGTATTCTAGTAATTCGGCAGCAAAAACCATTCATTTATAAAATTCATTTATTCGTCAGGATCGATTATAATAAAATATTAACTGGATTTTAGTTGTCGTTTAGTATTTACACAGAAAATACATTATGAAGGGCGCTGTTGCCATATATTGGTATTAGTTGATATTAGCAAAGAATATTATTGTTTGGCTTTAATAGTATGTCTATATATTTTGCATTTTTTTTATTAATATTCTGTTGTTACACTGCAATAATACTTGTTATTTTGGATGTAGGAAAATGATGTTTAATGTTTTTAAGCAAAGACTGGTTTAATAAAAAAAATAATAACAGTAATAATTTGTTATACCTATTAACAACAAAATTTAAAATAATTTAATATAAACATTTTTTTTACGTAGTAGCAAAATATAAACAACAAATTAGATGTCAAAATTATTTATATTAGATCCTATTTAAAAACAATATAGTCTTTAAATTTTTTGGCAACGTTGGTTTATTAAATAATAATAATTACAGAACTAATTTGTTATATTAACAACAAACTTTAAAATCATGAAATATAAACATTTATTAATTTTCTAAGCATGCAGTGTAATGGAAGGAAAATATAAATAAAAAATTAGAAATAAAAATTATTTATATTAGATACTTTATAGTACTATTTAAAAATAATA